TTTTATTCACGGAGTATGACTTAAACGGCTTTACGCCCAGCTGAAAACAACATAATTCATCTTTAGAGTAATCCATGTTTACGTATTATCACTTTTTTATCAAAATTGTCCGAGGCTATTTTGCATATAAGTCGAAATTTTTTAACTGTGGCGATTATTTAACAAAAAATGACAGAAAAATAGCCGTTTCTGTCGTTTTTGGCCCAAAAAAACAATGTAACTGTCATTTAAAACAAAATAGCCTCGGACAAAAATAATAAATAGGGGGTTGGCTTTCTACTTGCAAAATATCATGATGAAAGGTGTTGTTACCGCTTGGGCGTAAAGCCATGAAGTAAACAGCTTTTTTTTAACCAAAATGTTGATTTTTAACCCAAAAATTCAGAAGTAGTAAAAACAAAATAACCTTTATTCAATGTGTTTCAAGTACTACTAGAACTGTGTGAAGTTAAGTTGTGATGCGACCAAGCTATCAAAAGTTACAGCCATATGTATGAAATACTAATTATAGTTGGCCATAGGCTGCCTTAACCCAACCGAGGAGCTTAAATACATGTATGCAGATTAGTGAAGGCTAAATTGGAGCCGTGCAGGTATTTCTGATGTCTACCTGCACTGGTCCACGTGTAAATATAGATGTACATGTTTTTTTTTCCTAGCAGCATTGACTGCCACCACCTATGAAGTGTTAAACGAAGAAATCACAATGGTTTCCGAACAGTTTTAGTATGAAGTATATTTCCTAATTTTTACATGGTCCAGGCAATTTTCAATGCAGGAATGCAGAGAAATCATTTCGATCCATACAGCGAGACGTGCATTTCATATAATGCAGATGAACGAAGTTATAGACTTTATTTCTACATAGAAGCTTCTATCCACCCCTGTCTTTGCATGGACCTACCTGTTGTCTCTGTCCCGCTGATCTCTCCTATTTCCTCGTCGTCCTCTCCAAACGCTGTCAGGGTGAAGTTGTACTCTGTATCCGCCCACAGTCCCCGTACGGTTGCCTGAGTGTCGCCCGGTGCAGGCGGGGGAGACAGGTCCTGGTACGATGCCCCGGCATGACGATAGCGGAGTCGGTATTGTGTTACGTCAGCAGATGCTGTCCAGGACAGGGTCATTTGGTCCGCCTCGATATCGTGGAAGGTCAATTCAGACACAGCTGTAAAGGTAGTTACAATGTAGATGCCTTTTAGTCACTCGATTTGCTCTTCACATGTCACGCTAAAGTTAGACCACGGGCACCTGCCTGATCAGACGCAATCAACTTCATGGAAACACAGATCTCAGGTAGTCTGGACCATGCTACTCCTTTTCAAGAGCCTAAGATACACCAACTTTGGGACAACCACAAAACGATATCACGATTTCTAAGAAAAATTGTTAGAATTTGACGGATGTCTTCAGACAGAAAGAGGATTGATCACGACAAAATAATGTGAATAATGAACTGCTAATTATATATAATGGAAGTGTACATTGCCTCGTCCATACTTTCTAAATGATACTTTAGAAATACGGGAACAACAATATATTAGAACTTAGAGTTACCTGAACAGATCACACCCGTGTCACAGTCTTGTGTCTCCTGATCCAGTCCATCACAGTCCGCCCCACCGTTAGCTGGTGCAGGGTTGGTGCAGGTTCGGCCCCGAGTCTCCGTCCCAACTCCACACGTCACGCTACAGGCAGACCACGGGCTCCAGTCGGTCCAGTTGCCGTCAACTGTGTCGACATGGAAATTGAAAACAGATTTTAGAGAGTCTCGACCAAACCTTTTACAGAAGCATCCTTTTAAAAGGACTATAAGGACTGTTCAGATCTGTACTATTGACTAAAACCGGATTAAACGGATGACTGGCGATTTCTTCAATTTCAAGACGATTGCCTTAAAGATAATGACACGGCTTACCTGGACAGAGCACTCCCGTGCCACAGTCTTGTGTCTCCTGATCCAGTCCATCACAGTCCGCCCCACCGTTAGCTGGTGCAGGGTTGGGGCAGGTTCGGTCCCGAGTCTCCGTCCCGACTCCACACGTCACGCTACAGGCAGACCACGGGCTCCAGTCGGACCAACCGCCATCCACTGTGTCATGGAAAACAGATTTGAGAGAGTCTCGACCAAACCTTTTACAGATGCATTTTTTGTAAAGGACTGTTCAGATTTGTACTATTGACTAAAACCGGATTAAACGGATGACTGGCGATTACTATATTTATGATCGTAGTACTCTTTTATGCTTAGGTCACATTTCCAAACCGGGGCCCGGCCGGGCTGTTTTACTTTAAGTATAGTTTTTGTCGACAAATAGTTAAAAATTGGATTTTTGTTTGCTTTTTTTCGCACTAATTAAATTACCCATAACTCAAAATCAAGCGATCCCCAGTTGTAGCGGGACATATCTGGACATGCGCCCGACGTTGTGTCCTTGGGAAAGGCACTTTACACGACTTTCCTCACTCCACCCAGGTGTGAATGGGTATCTAACTTCGGTTGGGGAAAGCCGTATTGAGGTCACCTTGTGGCGCCGAATGGCAGCCGCGCAGACCCTTGCGTCAGTTCCACAAACATGTGGAACAAATATGAATCATGTGTATTTTGTGTATTACTATGTGTATGATTACCATTTGTAGAATCTAATTGTAAACCCTGCATCAATTCAGCACCATAAGGCTGCGATTGCACGGGTGATGTTTGGCCAATAAACCATTTATTAATAAAATTATTTATAATACATAGTTTACATAGTCTATCAATTTCCCTGCAAGAAAGAGTGTATATTATCCATACCTTGTGAGGCAGCAGTGTTTGTGGAAGTCTCGCCCCAGACGGCATTCCCCACCACAGTGGCCCTCTGGTAGTTCTCAGAGAAGCAGTCCATCTTCAGCGTATAGCTTTCATAGTCTGTGTGGGCAACACGTGATTTCATAACTTTCAGAAACAAAATTACTTTTAACATCAGTCCAACACTCTGGAGCTTTATAGTTGGTATAACCAGCCTTCGGCGTAACACACCAGCTTCACAGGTACGCAGCACAGCGTCAGCTAGCTACGACTGTATATACCACCAAATGACCTGTTATATTTACAATCACGTACAGAGGCCCAACAATTTGGAACAACCTAAGTAGAACTTTACAAATTAGTCCCTCCGTCACCATTTTCAAAAATCATACCAAAGCAACTTACATAAATAACCCCACACGTTCTTAATTTTTGTTTAAGTTTCCTTGTTTACTACTTTTCATTACTACTTTTCATTATTGTAGATAGTATTGTATCGTATTGTATTTTATTGTTTTGTTTCATTTACCCGTTACCTAGTAAATTATTTCTTATTTATCCGATTAATTTGAATTGTTAATTAAGTTATGAAGGGAGGCCTCCTCATAAGCATTTTATGCTTCCGGCCTCCCTGCACTGTCACATTTCATTTATATTTTCTTGTGTCTGTATTTTGTTTTAAAGTGCGAATAAAAACTGAAACTGAAACTATACTCAACCTTTGCACATCTAACTGCGGAGTTGTTTAAAGCTGGAAATAATCTATTGATGATGTCTCGACTGTCCTTGGTGCAGGTGAAAAACTATTACTACGAGCCCTGCACGTTGTCATTGGTTAAACTGCTGGACAGTCAGGATCATATGTGGACTGTTGTACTGTGGCAATAGCCTCTACGAGGCTTCAGGAGGTGGTTGGAACCAGTAGAAATTGGTCAAATAGATGGATAACATGCCAAGGGAGTTGGTCCGCTAGAAAGTAGTGTGCGGCAAACTCCGTCATCATGTTATTTCTATATTTGACAAATGTCTACTCTTTCTAGCCATCTGCCGAAGCCTGGTAGAGGCTACTGTGGCAAAGACCTAAACATTTATACAAAACCCTGCCTCACCCCTGACACAGCGCTTGACCAGGAAGTTTCCGCAGGGGAAGATGTCCTCTATGATGGCGTAGAGGTCAGGGTCGTACGCCTGCAGCTCCGTGCGCGTGTTGACGTGGTTGTGGATCCCGTCGGGCGGATCCCGCTCGTGGTTCACGTTGAAGAAGCTCTGCACACCTGTAGATGCATATATGATGAGTAAATTGAGAAGATACTGTGTGCTGTATCACGCTACGTCTAGTCTTACAGTCATAACATTAGGGTATATGTACACAATTATATGCTCTGACTGCCCTATGTTTGGACACCTGTATATTCCGACACCGTTAAATTCTGCCACTCCTATGTGACAACACCCCATGTTATGACATCTCTATGTTCTGATACCCTTTCATTAATTGCTATAACACCCGAATGTTCCAATACCCTACGTTTCAACACTTCTTGGGGTTCTGTTTGCCTCCTTCGCAGTCTTGTTGGGCGTCAGCGTTATTTATTTCTGTGAGCGACGTGAGTAATTTGCGGCCGTGAGGGACGATATGCTGCCGAGGGAGTTTTTTGCCGCGGAGAGAAGGCGCGCGAATCCTTCTCTCCGCGGCAAAATACGTCGCTCACAGAAACAAATAATGCCGACGCCCAACAAGGCTGCGAAGGAGGCTAGGGTTCTGTCATAAAACTGTCGAAAAATCTGACAATCTTCCAAATTCTAGATATGATCTCCTTGGATTGACATCCTCCATGAAATTAAGGTTGTGTCAAATAAGGTAAGGATTCCAACTACAAACATTTTCATCGCAGTTTACCTCTACAAGATAGAAGTGCGCATATGAATGGCAGCTAGATGATCTAGTATCAGGTTGTTGATCGGTTCCGTAATCGGTACTAGCCAAAAGCACTATGCGCGCCTGTCTAAATCACTGCTGCAGGGAGGAGTTGTACCCAAGGGGAGTTGGCCGATACCAGTCTGGCTCCCAGGGTATTTTTTACGCTTATACCTACCCTCCGCCCAGTATGCGTCCCTGGTGTCGTCAGCGAAAGTGTTTGCCCACAGTCCATTGGCCAGGGCGCTGTCATAAGCAGCCTGCAGGCGGGTTTGGAAATCACTGATGACCTTCCGGGCGCCAAGGATGTCCAGTCCCTGGGCAAACCCGTGGATGAAGGTGTCTTCAACACGGTACCTGTTTGAAACGTGGAAAGTATTATTGAAAGTAAGTTTACTAAGACCCATGTAGAATCGTCAAAAGTCAGGTTAGAGACGATTCCTCCCCAAGTAGAGATACTAGAATGTTCTGTAGAATTGCCAGAATAGGGAATCAACAAAAACAAAATTTTAGCTGGTTTGAAAGCGTCACGGAAGAGGGTAGGTAGGTAGGCATGGACACCCAGGCTAATATCTGTAAGGCAATCCTGTTGGTTTATCATACATGTATGTGCTATCATGAACCAATTATTGTCAGACTGAGAACTGTCTGTTACAGTAGTGTTTTAGGCTGCCGCGAATGGCAGAGAATTCTTAGGTCCTATTGGACTAATTACCTCCATGAAAAATGGAGGTATTGTTTTCGGTGTGTATGTATGTCTGTGTGTGTGTCTGTCTGTCTGTCTGTGTTTCCGCAACTTTGTGGTCAGCATAACTTCAGAACGCCTTTATGGATTATGGTGATATTTGGTATGTTGGTAAGTCTTAGGAAGACAAACGTCAAGGTCAAATATGGGCCTCCTGGTGGATGACCTTGGTACTGCAGCAGAACTTCCGGTTTTTGTATCTTTTGTCCTGAACATGCTATGGTCTTGATGTTTTCATGACAGATTGCTTTTCCTGTCAGGAATAAGTGGTGTGAGTTTGGTCCCCCTAGCAGCTTGTTCTGTAACTGCAGGCACATTTACATATCAAGCCCATATTTCATGGAGGTATGAAATCTCGGAATTCTTGTTTTCATAGTGATAAAGAATCCTGAGCTACTGGCAGTTCTGGGAATGATTCTTTTGGGCTAATCACCAAGCACATCTTTCAGTGGCTGCAAAGACAGTTGCTGTATACCGCCTGGACAATCCTAGCTTTCTTTGAAGATTACTCTCAAGCTGCAATCAACCTGAAATGCGAGAAATTGTAGTCTGGTTACCAGACCTGTTATAGCTCCCGATTCCTATCTTACATCCCTGCAAATAGAAGATGTAAGACTCGGGAGCTATGATAGGTCTGGTAACCAAGCTAGAGAGATTGTGTGAAGCAGGCTACATCCTTACGAGTCATTGCTGAAGCAGAGCACGTTTTCCTCGGCCCCGGTGGACACGGGTCTGGAGACGGTGCCCGCCAGGCCTCTAGCCCGCGTGAACACTGGGTCAAGGTTAGAATGCTCGGGAATGTCCAGCGTCACCTGCAAGGAAAAAGCATCAAGGCTGAGTAATAACGGCGTAAGAAGTAAGAAAGACAAACAGGAATCTGTATTTTTGTGAACTCGAACGTGGACCATTGTCATCTTGGACCAGTCAACTCATCAGACCAACACCATTGAGAATTGTTAAGGTTAGGAATCAACCTAGGTGCAAAGGATATCAGGGTTAGGGCTAGGACTCAACCTAGTTGTTGGGTTAGTGTTAGGCCTAGTGTAAGGGTTAGGGGTAGGGGTAGGGTAAGGATTCGGGATAGGTCCTTATTTAGGTTAGGGGAAGGGTAAGAGTTTGGGTTTAGGGTAAGGTGTTAGGGTTAGGGTTATATTTTAGGTTGGGGTTTGGGTTAGGGTTAAGCTTAAATGGTTAGTGTTAGGATAAGGGTTAGGTTAAGACTTGGTCTGAATAGGGTTAGGTTATGTTATGTTAGGTTAGGGTTAAGGTTAAGTTAAGGGTTAGTGTTAAAGGTAAGGGTTAAAACTTGGTCTAATTAGGGTTAGGGTTCCCTAGTAGTATACAAAACTATCAAGAGTATACGAAACTGTCAAAATAAGATTGGGACCATTGGCTGCAAAACGGAGAGCTTACCTCAGTGTCGTCCATGATGGCAGCCCTGCCATAGTAGTTATAGTACGAGTCCCGAACGTCCTTTCTGTCCGCCAACAGGAACAGCACATCGTAACATGCCCTCCGGAGGGCGTCATCCGGTAGGATGGAAGAGCCAAGGATGGGGATACCGTAGGCATGGAGATATTTCTAGTTTACAGGATATAGAAAAAAGTTACTGATTTGTCAGTGATGTTACAGTGAAGCTTTAATATCTTATTAAACTATCATACAGACCAGTCGTATGTGGCTAATCTCCGTTAAGTTTTTAAAGAGATATATTACATACGTTTCATTTACAAATAATAGATAGTAAGATTTAGTACATACTTTTCAATTACAGCTATCGACGGACTTACATATACACATCTATGTAAAAGCCTTTGAGGGATATTAAAAAGCGCTTGCCATTTTGAGAACAAGAAATCAGATATTTCAGAATTCCGGTGAGGTGTGTTGGGTTCATGCGAATGTATTGGAGATGTATCATAGGATGTATGACCTACAGTAACTTACCCCCGTAGTACACTTGTGTTTCATACCACGTGTGTTTCATTGTGTTTCATACCACGATAACACTGTACACATTCCTGCCAACACGTACTAGGAACAATGTTCACTTCAGTCCGAAACAATGTTCACTTCAGTCCCAGTGTTGAGCCAAATTCCTGAGATGCCACATCCGTGAGGAGTCAGGTGTTTATAGGGATAGAGTTAGCGTTGGTATTAGAGTTAGGGCTAGGGTTAGAGTTGGGATCATTGTTCAGGGCTACCTGGGTTAGACTTACGATTGGATTATCTCTCTTAGAAATATACCTAATATAGTTCATTTATCTACCTAAAGGTTTGATATTTCGTTTTTGCCATACATTGTACCAGTTACAGTTGTTGAGCAATAAAGTTGATTTGATTTGTATATGGCTTGACAACGCAAATAGAAACAAAAGGCTGCAAACCTGGTAGAATGACGTGTCCAGATTAAGCTCGCTCTGAACGTCAGCCGGGACAGTCGTGACGTCATAGCATTCCCATGTGTCCCAGGAGCGACCACGGCGGGTGTTGGTGCAATGAGCACCTAGGTCTGAGGGAAAGATATCCGGAAAATAACATTTGATATATAAATAATGCAGAATGTCGTAAAAGCATTGCAAACTCTTGTTTCTCCTCTCTAGTTTTCCTTTTTTTATTTAGTTATACGTATACCCAAATTGAAAACGGGTAGCTTGACAAATTCTTTTTGTCTCCTTTCCTATGTATAAGGTTCCATGCCATTGAAAAGGGTATTAAAAAAAGAAAATAGTTAAAACTCTTGTTTCTCCTGTCTATTTTTCCTTCTTTTTTTGATTTAGTTATTCCCCAATTAAAAACGGATAAGGAAAGTGATTTCGATCCAATTTCGGCTCACCGAAGAGCTGTACAGCACTAGGACTTTTACATTTAAACACTGCGTTAAGGTAATAAATAGAATGTCTGTCTAAAGAAACAAGAATGCCAGCTACGAGAGAATCATCAATTTATCATGATTCTAATGAACAACTTGGTTACCACGTTTAATATGAAGAAGGATGTTATATCAAGATATAACGTCCTTGATCTGAAGAACCAAAATATTTCTTATCTGCATTGAAACCTAGACTCTACCAATCTTCAGAGGCCGCGCTGGAGGGAGCAGAAATTGGCCCAATACACAGATAACATTCAAGGGGAGTTGGTTCACCGAAGGAGTAGTTTGCCTCGTAACGTACAGTAACGTATAATATAGTACAATACAGTAACGTAACGTAACATAGTGTAGCGTAAAGTCAGGTCGAGTCAAAGATCTTTATACCATAAACCTTTTTGTCCAACAGCATGATAGCGACACACTCCTGTGACGGGCTGTAGGGAATATGAGTAACATACTTGGGAAACAGACCACAGCTGAGTGGACAGTTGGGATCATGTATCCCGGGTTGTTTTAGTTAAGTAACGTAACGTAACGTAACGTAACGTAAAGTCAAAGTTCTTTCCACTTTCGACACACTCCTACTATGGGATGTATAATATACATGTATGAATAACATACTTGGGAAGCATACACCACAGCTGAGTGGACAGTTAGGGAGCATGTAGCCCGGGTTGTTTTAGTTAAGTAACGTAACGTAACGTAACGTAAAGTCAAAGTTCTTTTCACTTTCGACACACTCCTACTATGGGATGTATGATATATGAATAACATACTTGGGAAGCATACACCACAGCTGAGTGGACAGTTAGGGAGCATGTAGCCCGGGTTGTTATCACACTCTCCAATGCTCGCCCAGCTGGGACAGTAGGAGTTGCTGTCTGTGCAGGTAGAAATCTGGAGTTGGAAGAAAACAAAAATTAAGAATTAAAAGGAGTTTCCAGTTGGACATCCCAAACAATGAATGAATCAACGTAGATGCATATTGTACGCACATACCCGCTGGGTTAAGTACGGGTCACAACAAAAGAATAGATAGACAGTTCTAGCCATAACGCCTGACATCTGCTTGGAGATTAGAGCCGATTTACACGGGGCAAAACTATCATTTGGCCTGCCTCCTGCCACAGGAAAATCGACGCAGACCAAATGGCATATATTTTTTTTACCTTTGCCGTGTAAATCGGGCCTAAGCTTAGACGAAACGTGCTCCCACGATACTCACGTCAGGACAGCCCACCACGGTGACGTTCAGTGTGGCGGCGGTGCCGGCGCCGTTGTCGGCCGTGCAGGTGTACACCCCGCCGTCGGCGTCCGTGGCGTCCGCCAGGGTCAGCGTGCCGGCGCTCATGTCCAACACGGCTCGCGCCGGTACCGGGCCCGAGTCCAGGGTCCAGGTGTAGGTCGGCGCGGGGTCCCCTCCGCCGTAACACGTCAGAGTTAAGGACTCCAGGTAGTACAGGTTAGCTGAAGGCCAGGCGGAGATTACTTTTATGTCCGGAGCGACTGGAACAAAATTACACTCGTGTTAGAATAATTACGTTCACTGTGCACTGAACCTAGAGGTTTCTGTAACAAGTTCCAAGTTAGTACAGGTTAGCTGAAGGCCAGGTGGAGATGACTTCTATGTCCGGAGCGACTGGAACAAAATTACACTTTCGTGAAATAATACAATAGGAAAGTTCTTTTGTTCACAACCACTCTGCACTGAAGCTAGATGTTACTCTAACGATGCAGTCCCAAGTTACATTTGGATCGCATGTAATACTATGCTGTAATCTTGAGATTTTTCATGACAATCTTGAAATTATGAACACGAAAGGTCTCGAGATCTTTGCAAGACGTTTTCAAAGCATCTTGAGATTTTTCCATAGCATCTCGAGATGCTTTAAAAATACCAAACCAAAATTGTTTAAAAGATCTCAAGATTCATAAAGCAATCTTGAAAGAAATGTTTTAATTGCTTTCTAAACTTGAGATCTTTGAACAATCTAAAGTATGTTCCTGGATGAGTTATTAGCATCAGGATTCCAACCTGTAGACTGGGAAGGTGTTGCTCTCGATGTCACAGTTGGAGTTAGAGTTGTAACTGTAGATGACTGGGTCAATGACACTGTTGGAGTGGAACCTATCGCAGAGCAAATCTTCAGACATTGCATATGATTGCTTTGTTTGTTTGTGGGTTGGTTGGTTGGTTGTTTGGTCTGTTGGCTTGTAGATGGTAGGTACATGTATGTTGATTGTTTGTGGATTCTTTTTTTGTTTGTTTGTTTGTTGGTTAGTTGGTTGGTTGGTTGGTTGGTTAGTTGATTGGCTGTTGGTTGGTTAGTTGATTGGTTGGTTGGTTGGTTTATGGTTGGCAAAACCCAAACTGTACAACTCCTGTACACCTTTGTGCATTTATATTGTAGTCCTAGGCAATAATGTGTATTCTGACATGATTAACGATGTATCGAAATAGCTCACTGCGCCTTACAGAAAAAGACATGCAGACCCTTATTGTACCCATGCTGACTCCTGTGCAGTCAAAACTGTAAAAATAATTAAGACTGAAACCTGTGGACTGTGGAGCGATGCTTGTTGTACGTGCTGTCGGTCGGCTCACACTCGGTGTGCTAACAGTAGTCGTCTGGCTTACTGTCCGTGTGCTTGCAGGTGGTGTCGGTGTTGCACCTATCACAGAAAAGACTTGTAAAGTAGAGTACATCTAGGAAGCCAATTGCAACCTTTTGGACCAGGTCAAAGAAAGTGGAAAAAAACTATGTTCCATATGACCTACTTCGGTCAACATTGAGCACGGTAAAATCCTATATATTACCTAGAGGTCGGAGATCCTATGTCTTCGTCAGAGGTACATTGTTCTAGAGAAATGGACATGTGTATTCTAACTTTTTTTAATAATCCATTTGGTCTAGAGTACAAAAGAATCTCTGTACTCCTTTATGCTACGAAGCACCCTGAAAGGGTTCGCCACAGATTTTACAGACGCGCCGTCACCCGTGTTAGGCCCCCTAAGTTATTTGATTTTGGACTGTTACTGAAAAAAAACTCTTACAAGAAATTCTGTTCACTGTATTAAGATGAAAATGTCACGACAGTGTCGAAAAAATATAATAAGAAAATATGTGATGAAAGAAAAGAATTTTTAGAACAGGGCGACTACTGCTGTTTTGCTGATTTATTGTTATGACGAATAGAAGAATTGTTAGTTGTTACAATTTGTTCTTTTATTCAATTTGTGTCCTAACATTTGAATTTTTACAGTTAGTATATTCTAAATCTAGGCATCTTGTTTTTTCATGTTTTTATCGCGCTTTCGCATTAAATTTAAGGTTTCCAGTTGACATCACCCATAACAATTACTTGGTGTGGCCGTATGAAATAACCTGACGCATGCCCAAGCTTTCCTCCTCCCGCTGAAGTTATAATGAACAGTCCCTCAATGTAACGTTATTTGATCCCATCCAGTTATGGGGTTCCTCATGCCCAGCTGTCAGCTGTCTCCAAGCAGAGGTTGGTGGGGGAAGATAGTTACTTCTAAACACAAAAGGTCCACTGCAGTGACATAGCGAGCCCCCACGAAGCCAGATAACGAACTTAACCTTGGTCTCAACAAAAGTAACCGCTTACCAAAAAATATAAACATCAATTTACATTCAAGTTATTCTACCAACAAGCCACAAAAACAAAAGGTGCACTAACGTGACGTACCCCCAACGAAGCCCAAACTTGCACTTGACTTTGACCTCAACAACGGTAATCTGCCTGCCAAAAATCATTGACGTCAAATTATGTCTTCAAGAGTTCTTCCGCTAAATCCACAATACGGCGGGATGATTCCATAGTCTTTCTGACGAAGACAATTATTGATAACAGCCCTACAGCTATGGATGAGCGTACATGTGCCACATACATATAGGACACATCCATAAGTTGACACAGATTTGTTGCAGAGTTCTTTTCTCCGGGTCCGCTTCTCTTTTGCACAGTTCAATCAAACATTAAAGTATAGTAAAATACATAGTTTACTTAGTCTATCAACTTCCCTGCAAGAAAGAGTGTATATATATTATCCGTACCTTGTGAGGCAGCAGTGCTTGTGGAAGTCTCGCCCCAGACGGCATTCCCCACCACAGTGGCCCTCTGGTAGTTCTCAGAGAAGCAGTCCATCTTCAGCGTATAGCTTTCATAGTCTGTGTGGGCAACACGCGATTTGATAACTTTCAGAAACAAGATTAGTTTTGACATCTGTCCAACACTCTGGAGATTTATACCTGGTATAAGCTTCACAGGTACGCAGCACAGCGTCAGCTCTAGGTACGACTGTATATTACACCAAATGACTTATGAGTTATACTCAACCTTTGCACATCTAACTGCGGAGTTGTTTAAAGCTGGAAATAATCTAGTGATAATGTCTCGAATGTCCTTGCATGTTGTCATTGGTTAAACCGATGGACAGTCAGGATCATATGTGGTCTGATGTACTTTGGCAATAGCCTCTGCCGGGCTTTAGGAGGCGGTTGGAACCAGTAGAAATAGGTCAAATGGAGGGATAACATGCCAAGGGAGTTGGTCCGCTAGAAAGTACAGTGTGCGGCAAACTCCCTCATCATGTTATCTCTATATTTGACAAATTTCTACTCTTTCTAGCCATCTCCCTTCTAGCCTGGTAGAGGCTACTTTGGCAAAGACCTAAACATTTCTTCAAAACTCTGCCTCACCCCTGACACAGCGCCTGACCAGGAAGTTTCCGCAGGGGAAGATGTCCTCTATGATGGCGTAGAGGTCAGGGTCGTACGCCTGCAGCTCCGTGCGCGTGTTGACGTGGTTGTGGATCCCGTCGGGCGGATCCCGCTCGTGGTTCACGTTGAAGAAGCTCTGCACACCTGTAGATGAGGAAATTGAGAAGATACTGTGTGCTGTATCACGCTACGTCTCCTCTAACAGTCATGGCATTAGGGTATATGTACACTCTTATATGCTCTGACAGCCCTATGTTTGGACACCTCTATATTCCGACACCGTTAAATTCTGCCACCCTATGTTCTGACATCTCTATGTTCTGACATCTCTATGTTCTGATACCCTTTCATTAATTGCTATAACACCCGAATGTTCCAACACCCTACCTTTCAACACTTATTGGGGTTCTGTCATAAAACTGTCGAAAAATCTGACAATCTTGTCTCCAAATTCTGGACATGATCTCCTTGGCTAGACATCCTCTATGCAATTAAGATTGTGTCAAATAAGGTAAGGATTCCAACTACAAACATTTTCATCGCAGTTACTTCAACAAGACAGAAGTGCGCATTTTAATGACAGCTAGATGATCTAGTACCAGGTTGTTGATCGGTTCCGTAATCGGTACTAGCCAGAAGCACTATGCGCGCATGTCTAAATCACTGCAGCGATGAGAAGTTGAACCCAAAGGGGGTTGGCCGATACTAGTCTGGCTCCCAGGTTATTTTGTGCTCTTGTACCTACCCTCCGCCCAGTACGAATCCCTGGTGTCGTCAGCGAAAGTGTTTGCCCACAGTCCATTGTCCAGGGCGCTGTCATAAGCAGCCTGCAGGCGGGTTTGGAAATCACTGATGACCTTCCGGGCGCCAAGGATGTCCAGTCCCTGGGCAAACCCGTGGATGAAGGTGTCTTCAACACGGTACCTGTTTGAAACGTGGAAAGTATTATTTTTTTTCTATTGGCTGGTGATGATATGCGGCTCGCCACGCCTGCACAAAGTATTATTTAAAGTAAGTTTACTAAGACCCATGTAGAGTCGTCATAAAGTCAGGTTAAATACGACCCCCGCCAAGTAGAGATACTAGAATGCTCTGTAGAATTGCCAGAATATGGAAACACCAAAAACAAAATTTCAGCTTTTTAAGCGTCACGGAAGAGGGTAGGTAGGTAGGCATGGACACCCAGGCTAATATTTGTAAGGCAATCCTGTTGGTTTATCATACATGTATGTGCTAACATGAACCAATTATTGTCAGACTGAGAACTGTCTGTTACAGTAGTGTTTTAGGCTGCCGCGAATGGCAGAAATTCTTAGGTCCTATTGGACTAATTTTCATAGTGATAAAGAATCCTGAGCTACTGGCAGTTCTGGGAATGGTTCTTTTTGGCTAATCACCAAGCACATCTTTCAGTGGCTGCAAAGACAGTTGCTGTATACCACCTGGACAATCATAACTGTCTTTGAAGCCACCGAAAGATCTGCTTGAAGATTACTCTCAAGCTGCAATTAGCCTGAAAGCGAGAAATTGTAGCCTGGTTACCAGACATATTATAGCTCCCGAGTCCTACATCCTCCCTGCAAATAGAGGATGTAAGACTCGGGAGCTATGATAGGTCTGGTAACCAAGCTAGAGAGATTGTGTGAAGCAGGCTACATCCTTACGAGTCATTGCTGAAGCAGAGCACGTTTTCCTCGGCCCCGGTGGACACGGGTCTGGAGACGGTGCCCGCCAGGCCTCTGGCCCGCGTGAACACTGGGTCAAGGTTGGAATGCTCGGGAATGTCCAGCGTCACCTGTAAGGAAAAAGCATCAAGGCTGAGTAATAAAGGCGTAAGAAGTAAGAAAGACAAACAGGAATCTTCATTTCTGTGAACTCAAACGTGGACCATTGTCATCTTGGACCAGTCAACTCATCAGACCAACACCTTTGAGAATTGCTAAGGTTAGGAATCAACCTAGGTGCAAAGGATATCAGGGTTAGGGCTAGGACTCAACCTAGTTGTTGGGTTAGTGTTAGGCCTAGTGTAAGGGTTATGGTATGGGGTAGGGTAAGGAACTGGTATAGGTACTTATTTATGTTAGGGTTAGAGTTTGGATTTAGGGTAAGGTGTTAGGGTTAGGGTTAGAGTTTAGGTTGAGGTTTGGGTTAGGGTTAAGCTAAAGGGTTAGTGTTAGGGTAAGGGTTAGGGTTAAGACTTGGTCTGAATAGGGTTACGTTAGGTTAAGGTTAGGGTTGGGGTTAAGTTACGGGAGACCATTGTCTGCAAAACGGAGAGCTTACCTCAGTATCGTCCATGATGGCAGCCCTGCCATAGTAGTTATAGTACGAGTCCCGAACGTCCTTTCTGTCCGCTAACAGGAACAGCACATCGTAACACGCCCTACGGAGGGCGTCATCCGGTAGGATGGAAGAGCCAAGGATGGGGATACCGTAGGCATGGAGATATTTCTAGTTTACAGGATATAGAAAAAAGTTAGTGATCTATCAGTGATGTTACAGTGAAGCTTTAATATTTTATCAAACTATCATACAGACCAGTCATATGTGGCTAATATCTCTTAAGTTTTTTCAAGAGACATATTACATACATTTCATTACATATCATGGACAGTAAGATTTAGTACATACTTTTCAATTACAGCAATTGATAGCTGTAAGCCTCTAAGCCTCTAAAGAATTTTAAAAATGGTTGCCATATTGAGAACAAGAAGTTAGATATTTCAGAATTCCGGTGAGGTTCGACCTTGACCTTTGTCTTAATAAGACTTACCATCATACCAAATATCATCACAATCCATAAAGGCGTAATGAAGTTATGCTGACTACTAGTGTGCGGAAACACCAACACACACACAGACAGACAGACACGCCAAAAACAATACCTCCATTTTTCATGGAGGTAACAAAAGGCTGCAAACCTGGTAGAATGACGTGTCCAGATTAAGCTCGCTCTGAACGTCAGCCGGGACAGTCGTGACGTCATAGCATTCCCATGTGTCCCAGGAGCGACCACGGCGGGTGTTGGTGCAATGAGCACCTAGGTCTGAGGAAAAGATATCCGGAAAATAACATTTGATATATCAATAATGCAGAATGTCGTAAAAGAATTAAAAACTCTTGTTTCTCCTCTCTAGTTTTCCTTTTTTTATTTAGTTATACGTATACCCAAATTGAAAACGGGTAGCTTGACACATTCTTTTTGTCTCCTTTCCTATGTATAAGGTTCCATGCCATTGAAAAAGGTATGAAAAAAGAAAATAGTCAAAACTCTTGTTTCTCCTGTCTATTTTTCCTTCTTTTTTTGATTTAGTTATTCCCCAATTAAAAACGGATAAGGAAAGTGATTTCGATCCAATTTCGGCTCACCGAAGAGCTGTACAGCACTAGGACTTTTACATTTAAACACTGCGTTAAGGTAATAAATAGAATGTCTGTCTACAGAAACAAGAATGCCAGCTACGAGAGAATCGTCAATTTATCATGACTCTGATGAACAACTTGGTTGCCACGTTTAATCTGAAGAAGATTATATCAAGATATAACGTCCTTGATCTGAAGAACAAAATATTTCTTATCTGCATTGAAACCTAGACTCTACCAATCTTCAGAGGCCGCTCTGGGGAGAGTAGAAATTGGCCCAATACACAGATAACATTCAAGGGGAGTTGGTTCACCGAAGGAGTAGTTTGCCTCGTAACGTACAGTAACGTATAGTACAGTACAGTACAGTACAGTACAGTACAGTACAGCAACGTAACGTAACGTAGTGTAGCGTAAATGCAAGTCAAGTCAAAGATCTTTATACTATGAACCCTTTTGTACAACAGCATGGTAGCGACACACTCCTGTGACGGGCTGTAGGGATGTATGATATGAATGACATACATGCACTTGGGAAACATACACCACAGCTGAGTGGACAGTTGGGATCATGTAGCCCGGGTTGTGTTAGTTAAGTAATGTAACGTAACGTAACGTAAAGTCAAAGTTCTTTTCACTTTCGACACACTCCTACTATGGGATGTATGATATATGAATGACATACTTGGGAAGCATACACCACAGCTGAGTGGACAGTTAGGGAGCATGTAGCCCGGGTTGTTATCACACTCTCCAATGCTCGCCCAGCTGGGACAGTAGGAGTTGCTGTCTGTGCAGGTAGAAATCTGGAGTTGGAAGAAAACAAAAATTAAGAATTATTGAGTTTCCAGTGGCACATTTCAAACAATGAATGAATCAACGTAGATGCATATTGTACGCACATACCCGCTGAGTTAAGTACGGGTCACAACAAAAGAATAGATAGACAGTTCTAGCCATAACGCCTGACATCTGCTTGGAGATTAGAGCCGATTTACACGGGGCAAAACTATCATTTGGCCTGCCTCCTGCCACAGGAAAATCGACTCAGACCAAATGGCATATATTTTTTACCTTTGCCGTGTAAATCGGGCCCAAGCTTAGACGAAACGTGATCCCACGATACTCACGTCAGGACAGCCCACCACGGTGACGTTCAGTGTGGCGACGGTTCCGATGCCGTTGTCGGCCGTGCAGGTGTACACTCCGCCGTCGGCGTCCGTGGCGTCTGCCAGGGTCAGCGTGCCGGCGCTCGTGTCCAACACGGCTCGCGCCGGTATCGGGCCCGAGTCCAGCGTCCAGGTGTAGGTCGGCGCGGGGTCCCCTCCGCCGTAACACGTCAGAGTTAAGGACTCCAGGTAGTACAGGTTAGGTGAAGGCCAGGCGGTGATTACTTTTATGTCCGGAGCGACTGGAACAAAATTACACTCGTGTTAGAATAGTAAAGTTCACTGTGCACTGAACCTAGAGGTTTCTATAACAAGTCCCAAGTTAGTACAGGTTAGCTGAAGGCCAGGCGGAGATTACTTCTATGTCCGGAGCCACTGGAACAAAATTACAGTCTCGTGAAATAATACATGTACAATAGGAAAGTTCTTTTGTTGACAGCCACTCTGCACTGAAGCTTGATGTTACTGTAACAATGCAGTTCCAAGTTACATTTGGATCGCAAGTAATACTATACTGTAATCTTGAGATTTTTCGAGTTGTTTAAAAGATCTCAAGATTCATAAAGCAATCTTGAAAGAAATGTTTAAATTGCTTTCTAAACTCGAGATCTTTTAAACATCTTGATATTTTAAAGCATGTCGGGATGCTATGGAAAAATCTCAAGATGCTTTGAAAACATCTTGGAAAGATCAAGACCTTTCTTTTTTTATCTTAAATTATGATAGAATGTTGAAGAAAACCTTACCTTGACCAGTCACACCAGTGCCCATAATGACGAGGACGAACAACCCCACGGGTAGCGACACACGCGGATTCATCCTGTCTCCAGGTTTCCAGCAGTTCACTTGGGATAAAGGTGGTAAAAGGGACACATGATTAACGGAAATATCATTAGTCGCAATTCGCTCCACCAGTTTACCAAATAATACGCTGCAATGGGAGGACAGACGACAAGGACAAGGATTTTTCTATCCATGAAAAATGAAGGTATTGTATTTGGTTTGTGCGTCTGTGTTTATGAGTGTGTCAAAAGTTGGCAAAATTTGAGCCTTTAAATCTATCGTTACAGGCGACGGTTGACATGTTTTAGTAGGAAAAGATTAAATAACAAAATTGTCACGACTAAAGCAGCCCGTACGCTGTATTAATGAATTCTAGTGCGGCCATTACAATTCGTAAGATACAGCTCAAATTAGTAAAACATTTTGTTTTATCTAAATACCAATATAGCAGGGTTTAAAAATAAATTACATTTGGAAAAGTAATACCGACATGGGCATTTTACAAGTGTTTATTCCTGCTTTTTTTAAATGTTCGAAAAATTCATAAAAGAACGAAATTGTCCATCACCCATTACTTTAACTATGTAATGTGAGCAAAGCCAGGGAAGGTGAGCATGGGTGACACGGCACACACGTTCCAATAGAGGGCTGTCCCTTGCACAACAGGACCTTATTTTATTCTCAACTAAGGACAAACAACCGGCTCTAATATCAAATCACAGCCGCTGACAACACAAACGCATCACTGCAACCATCTACATGTTCAGTGCAATAAAAATGTGATTTCACTCCAAAATAATTATGCTGTATTAAACTTCCAGCCATTTAAAACACAGGCCTTGATGCCTTTATAACCACATAACCAAGATATACAAAGACGTAATACCCCTGGAATGCTTCGGTCCCAATTGAAGAAAGGGGCCCTGCTGGGTAGTTCCCGGGCTGTTTTATGGCACTTTTGGGCGTAACCCCTACGTGGCCCCACCGGGCACCCTGCGGCTACCGGGCTATTTTTGGGCCCGGCGGGGACCCGAGAAGAATTCAATTCTGAATTAAATTCTACCCGAGCCCCGCTGACAAAAAGACGCCGTGATGAACAGAATAAAGATGTGTACTTCGTAAACCCGGGTAAAATGTGTGACGTCACTGATCAAATGATCACAACAAAAGCGTGAACTCTATATCAATTGGGTCAGTCAAGACATCGTCAGAGAAGCTGCCGGGTACCTGCCGGGTGCCTGCCGGAGAACGACCAATAAGGGTGACAAAATGCCACTGGAGGAAACTTTTAATTGTGACCACAACAACCGGTGCCCGGCAGACTCCAGAGCCCGGCGGGAGCCGGCCGGGGCTACATCCCCGACGGGCACCGGCGCAATTGGGACCGAAGCAGAACACAGAGTGCGCCAATGTCATGATGTAGGAACATATGGAGACTTAGAAACTTATCCGCTCATAATTTGTAGTGTTAACGTTTTACGTTTGTTTTTTGAGAAGAGAAAACAAGATGCGAGGACAACAATCAAGATTCACTACTAAAATGAGATATTGGACGTTTCATATGTTTAAGCTTATTCCGTTGCTTAAATCCTAACCATCGCGTCATTAATGCCGAGATAAATCAACATTAGTGCGAGGTTCGAGTTCAAAACGATCATGAATTATTATCTTGAAAGTTCATCTGTGTTGATAGAAGTCATTCTGAATTGAGTTTAAACTGTAATGTCCAACACAAAAAAATGGACGCACCCAAATTTTCGACTGCACAACTCCAGCCCCAGGCAAGGAAGGAACAATCCACCGCCCCCGCGACGCCACGCAGACAACACACGCGACCTCGCGCGCGAGCAGCGGATCACAGGTCGCAGAAAGCCCGCGGCGCCCCCCGCCCGCCCCCGCCGAGGGACGGCTGCAATGCCCCGACACAGAGGGCCTTCCCAATCCCTCGCGAAAAGAAGTCCGACCCTGAGTCCAAGACTCTCACTTTGTCCAGTGAGACTGAATGACCAGGCGATTCTATGTGTATATATGTTGTTAGACCTTCGAAGTAGTCGAGCTAGGTCGTTTGTGTTCTAAGAACCTAGCCTTGAGGGATCTTTCAGTCTCTCCAATATAGGTTTCCTTATGCTTCAGTCCCAATTAAAAAAAGGGGCCCTGCCGGGTAGTTCCCGGGCTGTTTTATGGCACTTTCGGGCGTAACCCCTACGTGGCTCCTCCGGACACCCTGCGGCTACCGGTCTATTTTTTGGCCCGGCGGGGACCCGAGCTAGAAGAATTTAATTCTGAATTAAATTCTACCCGGGCCCCGCTGACAAAAAGACGCCGTGACCTCATCGTGAGAACACCGACAGGTACCCCTTCGGTTGCCGGCAGTCCACCGGGACACATTTGTTACGTCACAGACCAGATGAACAGAATAAAGGTGTGTACTTCGTAAACCCGGGTAAAATGTGTGACGCCACAGATGAAATGATCACAACAAAAGCGTGGACTCTATATTAAGTGGGTCAGTACAAGACATCGTCAGAGAAGCTGCCGGGTACCTGCCGGGTGCCTGCCGGAGAACGACCGATAAGGGTGACAAAATGCCACTGAAGGAAACTTTTAATTGTGACCACAACAACCGGTGCCCGCCAGGCTCCAGAGCCCGGCGGGAGCCGGCCGGGGTTACATCCCCGACGGGCACCGGCACAATTGGGACCGAAGCATTACACGGGCCCTTGGAAGTCTGTCCTTGACACTGTATATGGTAAACTACCCCACATTTGCTTTCCTTTGGTGTTTTGTCCATGTGCGACCAGTATATTCCCAAGGAGCTTTCATCACATGATGAAAGCTCCTTGATATTCCGGAGGGTTCTAGTTGGTCTAAAACAGGTCCTAATCCCATGTGCAACAAATATCCTCCTGAGCCATTCACTCAGGCCTTTCCTGTAAGGCAGCACAACTAGGCCTCTATTTGGGCTTTTGTTCTTGCTCTGGTATTGGTTACTGTCTGTGGGCTTTTGTCTATTGGCCTTGTCTAAAGCCCAAGTGGGATACCCGCACTTTCTTAGTGCCTTTGAAATGTGAGCTTTCTCCTCTTCTAAATCTTGAGGGTCAGTGATAATTGTTTCCGCTCTGTGAAACAGGGTGCGGATAACCTCGAGTTTATGATCCAGGGGGTGATTAGAATGGAAGTTTAGATATTGGTCAGTATGTGTGGGTTTGCGGTATATCTTAACCTGCAGGGACCCGTCCTCTTTTACTGTAACAGTTGTTAGCATATCCAAAAAGGCTAGTCACCTATTCTCTTCCTCTTCAAATGTGAATTTTATGTCAGGGTCAAGGTCATTTAGATGTTCTGTGAAGTCTTGTGATTTCCTACAGACAGAAGTTCCTCCTAAGTTTTACGGTCTTTTCAAAGTACACAAAACTGGTATTTCACTGAGACCAATAGTGAGCAGTATTGGCTCAATCACTTACCCTTGCGCCAAGTTCTTAGAAGATACTTTGTCCCCCTTAGTCGGTAATACAGTGCACCACATTAAAAACTCACAACTGTTTGTAGAAAGGATAGAACATGAGCGGGTAGAGGAAGACGAGGAACTACGTTCATACGACGTGACAGCTCTGTATATTTAAGTGCCAGTAGACAAAGCAGTTGATGTAATTTTACAAAGACTAAAGGAAAACAGCACTCTACCACAACGTTCCAAACTACCCCCAGAACAGTTGATGGACTTGTTGAAGGTGTGTCTAAACTGTACTTACTTTGTGTATGATGGCATTTTCTACAAACAAATCCATGGAGCTGCCATGGGGTCACCTGTGTCCCCCTTGTATGCAATCTATACTTAGAGCATTTGGAACAACGTGCCATAAAATCTGCCCCACACCCTCCTGTGTGGTGGTACAGATACGTTGATGACACTTTTACCAATCTTAAGAAGGCGTACGCACAAGAGTTCACAGAACATCTAAATGACCTTGACCCTGACATAAAATTCACATTTGAAGAGGAAGAGAATAGGTGACTAGCCTTTTTGGATATGCTAACAACAGTAAAAGAGGACGGGTCCCTGCAGGTTAAGATATACCGCAAACCCACACATACTGACCAATATCTAAACTTCCATTCTAATCACCCCCTGGATCATAAACTCGAGGTTATCCGCACCCTGTTTCACAGAGCGGAAACAATTATCACTGACCCTCAAGATTTAGAAGAGGAGAAAGCTCACATTTCACAGGCACTAGTGTGGGTATCCCACTTGGGCTTTAGACAAGGCCAATAGACAGACAGTAACCAGTATCAGCGCAAGAACAAAAGCCCAAATAGAAGCCTTAGCTAGTTGTTCTGCCTTACAGGAAGGGCCTGAGTGAAGGGCTCAGGAGGATCTTTGCTGCACATGGGATCAAGACCTGATTTAGACCAACTAGAATCCCCCGGAATATACTGGTCTCACCTAAGGACAAAACATCAAAGGAAAGAAAATGTGGGGTAGTTTACCATATACAGTGTCAAGGACAGACTTCCAAGGGCCCGTGTAATTAAACCTATATTGGAGAGACTGAAAGATCCCTCGAAGCTAGGTTGTTAGAACACAAACGACCTAGCTCGACTACTTCGGAGGTCTCACATAGAATCGCCTGGTCATTCAGTCTCACTGGACAAAGTGAGAGTCTTGGACTCAGGGCCGGACTTCTTTGCGCGAGGAATTGGGGAGGCCGTCTGCGTCGGGGCATTGCAGCTGGGGGGCGCCACGGGCTTTCTGCGACCTGTGATCCGCTGCTCGCGGGGTCGCGTGTGTTGCCTGCGTGGCGTCGCGGGGGCGGTGGATTGTTCATTCCTTGCCTGGGGCTGGAGTTGTGCAGTTTGGGTGAGTCCATTTTTTGTGTTGGACATTACAGTTAAAACTGGATTGATGATCATTTCTGCTTTGTCAGTCATAAAATAACGGTATTAAAGGGATGCAGTTCCTGATCAATACAATCAAAGTTTCTATTTTGAAAAGTCTTCCTGTCAATATTCTATTTCTGAGTGGAACAGCTTAAGTCCGAATACCCGCAGTCTCGATTTTTTTTAATTTTAAATTATCGAATTTTGAATTATGAAAAGTCCCTTATTTTTAAATCTGTACGTCTCGCCAAATCCAGTTATTTCAGCACCAGTTGTCGTCATCGTCTGGGCACCTGTAGCCTGAACCACAGTCTTTTCACCCGAGGTCTTGTAACAAGTCCAGCATGTGGCTCTGGGTGTATTCACGAAACAATTACCTATTACACTGCCCCACATGTATCCACCAGCATTTAGTTCTCTTCGACAGGCTCTCTAAGACTCTGCGACACACATACAACTTCAACACCGACAACGTCAAATAACTCTTAATTCTAAGTGGTAGTTTGCTCAGCTCTTAAAATATCAACTGCAAAATCATGTTAGCCACACAGGAATACATCATAACAACAAAACGTTTTTACTTGTCCGTGTTCTTTATACTTAAAAAAACTATTTTCTAAGATGAAAAAAAATCCTGATCTATTCAGGAAAAAAACCCTCGTCAAAATATTGTACTGTATTTTTCTCTGTCAACTTAATAATCGAAGATGAGGGGAAACAAGAAATCGTTTAAGATATCAAAATGTATGGTGTAATCTTTCATTGAATGAAGATTTCTTTCGTAATTAATCACGGTCCCTACTTATAAATTGGGGTTGTCATCCTTGATTATTATTATTATTATGTTGATGTCAATGACCGATGAACAAGCACATGACACAGGCGGTAGTTCGACAGGCGCTCACTGGGATCATCTCACTTTTTTTTTGCAGACAGTAAAATTTTATATCTATCTATTCAAGCATAAAAGAGGTCCCGAGTTTAACAAGTCTGTTGACAGCTTTTTGTTCAATCACATGGAAGCTTGCTGGATTAACCACCCACACACACAGGTTCAGAGCGACTCTTCCCAAAATGGCTGTGTGTAGAGGCCAGTTATGAAGTTTAGAGTGTACCATGTGCAACTATGTTATAAGGTGTCTCTCATTAGGTAACCAGGCACCTGAACAGCAACAATCTATCCGACGTCTAGTTGATGTATAATTTTCTTAAAAGAACCGCATATAACTCACGGAACAAACACGGTACTATAGGTACGATTTGGTGGTATTTCTCGTGCAACGCATCACACCGCAGCGAAACGCAACGAATGCGAAAGTAACTATGCCACTGCAGGGCGTTTATGATCTAATTAAAACATGGAATTATTGAAAAATATCGTGCCAGAAGTGACAGCAGGACAAGGTCTAGTTTTTGTCGACATATTGGTGAAAAAATGCATTTTTTTTTACATTTTTCTTACTAAATTACCCATATTTCAAAATTGAAGCCATTTTTCAAAAATCCCTAAAACACGACTTTCGGGAAAACCGTGACAGTCATTTTGAGCCGTAAATGGGGTATGTTTGACTCTCCATGCTTCCAGCTTTGAACAAGTTTTGCAGACATGTCATATCGCCGGAAAGCGTGCATTGTGTTATCCGTACAGGCGTACAAGGTCACGCAAGGATACGACAGTAGCTTCGTTACATGTTACATGTCCAAAAAGAAATAATAGCGGACATGTACTTTCGAGGATACTGTTTGTATCTATAGAAAAGTGTTTTTTTTTCTATCTGTTGCGAGGCACTCAGACAGAAGGGCTTGTTTTGCCGCTTTATTGTACATGACCGCAGGGGACGCCGAAATGGAATGCGGGTTCGATTCGAATTGCCCAGATCGAACACGATCGAACACAGTTCGAATTCTATGAAATGTGGGAATTTTGCAGCCCAGATTTGACCACCGTGAAAAGTACAAGTACTTGAGCTATCATATCTCATCTCATTTTCAGTTTTTATAAATTAAGATTGAATCTAAAAGGCGTTTCAATGCATAAATTTGTGGAATGTGTTCTATCGAACTATCAAACTCACCTGTCAGTATTGTTCTCTTTAAGCAAGAAGCCGTATCCAAGTCCATATTCCAGGCGTATTCCAATAGATAGGTAATCCGTAATCCACACATAGTCCATACATCGAGCACAATGGATAGTTATTACAATGCACAGAGTGCATTGTAATAACTATCCATAGTTAACACTACAGGCCGCAAACAATGGGCGATCTTAAAAGAACATGGCCGTAAAACATCCGGAAACCGGTTTTACGCCCTGGCCAGGTGAATCATACAATCATGTGCATTGATGCCATCTTGCGGTCCTTTCTCGAAGCGCAAGGGATCATAAAATTCAGCGAATACTCATAGCAGACAACTTTTACCAATCTTGCGGCGCCCAGTATCCCATGTATACATGTTTTCAATGCAAGAGAGCCATGATACGTTATGGATATGCGTCTTTGTTCTATTCTAAATGGGTCTTGGGCAAAGGTAACAGATATGAGTTATAGAAATATCCGTTTTGTTCATGTGGGGAAAGCGTCGGGCACTTCCGGGCCAGACTTCCGTATACGACCGAAGGTATTCACTGCGCTCTCTTTGCGACCTGAAATTGTGGGGGCGCGGAGAGAGCGCCGTGAGAGCGCAGTCTAAGTGGAATGCGGTATATCTACATTAATGTTAGGGCAGTTGTGCGCCCTCATGGCTCGCGCTCTCACGGCGCTCATTGTTGCATCGCCGTCCTCTGCGCTCTCACGGCGATTCTATGACACGGTTCATTACCATCGCGCCGAGGTGACGGCGCTCATAGCCATCATCGCGCTCTGATTGCTTTTTCATGGCGCTCTCATGGCGCTCTCATCGCGCCCCCATGGCGACCATGGCGCTCTCACCGTAGCCACTACCAGGCTCCGCGGATCGCTAGAGAAATAGTAGAAATTGGCCGAAATAAAGGGATAGTATACCAGAGAAGATCCGGGGCCATAGAAGATCGTCAACGTGATACTTGTATGTTTTAAATGGTGAAAAAAGAAAGATGTATTCGTAACTTAGAAACTGGTACATTTAATTCGGATACATGAAACAAACACGTCTTCAGAACGGGTCGTCGTCCCCTTTTGCTACATGGAGAATATGTACATGTAAGTTTTAATAAAGCCCCTGTCACACATTTACGAACTCCCCAAGAATTCATGCCCGAACACCAGCCGAACACTCTGACCAGGTCTATCTTTTGTATATGAGTCAAAACGAATTTGAGTTTAATTGGAGCCAAATTTTAATCGCTGAACACTTCCCAAACACTGTTAACTTACTCCAGCATGGTTGGCAGGTGTTTTACCGACTTACGGTCGAAGTCCAACCATGTAGATTGAACCTTCCGAACGCCCCATTAATGTTTTAAACAGTTTGAAACGTTCGGTTGGTGAAGCCGAACCGTAGCGGAATTCAACGAACGCCAGCCGACCCACTCCTCATGCTTGGCAGAGCAGGTCGGCAGAACGTACTGCACCTGCACGAAACCCGTCATGTATTCTGCATGGCCCTTTAGCAGTACGTCTCATATAAGGTAGTATTTGGGTATATAAGGTTAACATCTCGTCTGTGTTTTCCAACTGTGTCGGAAAAAAAATCGGCCGCAACAGGCACAGTTCTGATGCAACGCTGACCAGATATCCAACGAAAACCGTGAAAAATGGGGGTTTTTGCGCAGGCACGTTCTGCCGGCGTGCTGGTTGGCGGGTAACGTTCGGGACGCCAAATTCTTGAATTTGTGACGGAGGCTATAGCTAAGGCGGCTCGTTGAATAAGGCATGTTTACCTCAGTCATAATATAGAAAGATGTAAAGTTTCAGAAGACAACAAAAGATGATATCATGAATTTCAGAATGGTGGGCCGATTTTTACGGGCCTCCTAAAATATTTGGTCCGCTCATAAAAAACAGTCATTTCAAATACAGCGGTCTTATTTCTGACGACCAGTCTCGTTGATTGAGACAAGTTCACCTCAAGCTGAACATGTACAAATACATACACAATGTTTCAGGCGTGACAAGGTGAATCAACCTTCGATGAATGGAAAGGCACGCCAACACAACAAACCTTTGTTCCGTGCACGTACCAGGTTTACAAATGTAAACAGAATAGCGCAGTCTTTCTTTGCTCCGTCGGTTAGTCACAACAGGGCCATGTAATGTTACCCTGTATTGGCTATCGCATATATCACACAGCAAAATTGGAAAAGGGCCGGGCTTAACCGATCTTGGGGTAGGGGGATAGCATCCTAGCATATCTGCCTTAATTTGGAATGAATTAAATATGACGGTTGGATGTTAACAAAAAATACGGTATGGTGTATACTTGTGTTTTGAGAATTTGAATAAAAGAGCTAACAAAATGGCAAAGAAATCATTGTCTGTACCCCCCACATGTCATTATATATGGAACGGTCTTAACAAGGAAACGTCGTCGAAAAAAACACCTCTAGATCTGTGCGCTGTAACTGCGCAGTAACCAAACGTAGGAACAAGCTGTATGTAGGGTCGACGGTACTAGAAGTTGTTCCAGGCAAGGAAGTCTTAAATTCTTGATCGTGCATGAAGGCCAATACAACTGGCAAAAAAGCATGGTGCCAACAGACACGGCAGTCCTCGGTCGGGCACGTGTGTGTCTCCTGGCTGTGTTCTGCCTGGTGTTTTCGGGGTTTGTCGTAACGTCTGAAGGTAAGTGTTTTGCGTGTGTTGATAAACGCCATAAATTATTTGAATATTGGACAAAAAAAACTGACAAGTTGGGAAACGATGGTGAGAGCTAAAGTTCTCTAAAATATAATGTAATTTCTAATTATGTTCAAGTACTTCTTTTTTTTCAATGTTTGAAGTACAATGCTTTATCCGTTTGCAGAATGAACGATACATATTGTGAAATACATCGACATTCGCTATATGGGTTCGCTCAACGTGGGCTACATTTAAGCTGTAAGACTATAAATTCGTTCAATATACGCGTCTGTATCTGTATAGCCGGTATAACCACCCATCGGTGTAACGCACCAGCTTCGCAGGCACGCGGCGCGGCGTCTCATAGCTCCTGGTATAGGAAATTGGCGTATTGCTGCCTATGAACCAAGTGTCCCCCATTTGAAAATTTGAAAACGACAAAGCTGCACATGACGTGCGTATTGTGCGTACGGCTGCGTATGACAGAAATGTCGGTACGCAACTCATACATAATGAGAATATGCAGAAGTGTCACAGGGCCGTTACACAATCGTCACCAAACTTTGTTGTTAAAAAACTTACTCCACCCTACTTATTTACTTTTAATTAAACATTGTTCGCGTCGAAGGCATTTGAGGCATTGTCAAATAGCCCACCTTTTCAAAGGTCATGAAAAGCTGCACAGACAAGTTCACACTCTTTCAAGGTAGAAGTTAAGGCGTGACGAGCCGAGTCAACTTTCAGTAAAGGAAACGCCAACACACTAGAGTATACCCATGTTTCGTGTGCGTATCACGTTTACAATTGTAAACAAAACAGAACAAAGAAGACTTTCTTCGCTTTGTCGGGTAGTCACAACAAGGACAGGTAATGTTCCCCTGTATTGGCCATCGCATATATCACGAAGTAACATTTAGAAAGGGCTTAACTGATCTTGGGGTAGGGGGAGACATTCTAAAAAATCTACCCTAAACTAAATAAAGTAACGTATAACGGTAAAATCTGGACAAAAAAATAAACCAATTGTACGCTGTAGGGTTCAGTTATAGAAAAAAGGTAAAATATAATTAAACAGCTAATTCGCAAAGGCCCCCATTCCACTTAGACCGTGCTCTCACGGCGTTCTCTCTGTGACTTGAAATTGGCCAGGGCGCGGAGAGAGCGCCGAACTCCACGGAACATGAGGAAATTTTAATAATCAGTGGCATTACATGATAGGAATATTCAAGCTTGTGGTATATGTAATTGATAAAGAGAGAAACACAGACAGATATTGATTATGTAAATTAAGACTTAATTTGCAACAGAGAAAAAGGAGTGGATGTTACGTGTAATGTCTGACAGTTTTCAAAATCTATTCGGTTGCTTGAGTAACAATCTTCTTTGTAACTGATAGATAAAGATAAAAAGATAAAGTCTACAGTTTTAAAAGTCCTTCAGTAAAAACTTCTTTCTAATGAATATATTTATCTCCTTGTTAATCACGTGTTGATCTTTATTTCTACAGGTTCTCAATGGGTCCAAGTATTTGGGACCGTGAAAGGGACCGGACAGACGGCCGTGGACGCCTGGAGTGCCGGCCCTGGTGAGGACGTCTTACACGATAAAAGCCCTCTGGTGGAGCAATGGGGATCGCTTGGCATCAAACGGGTAACTTTGTCTTAGATTCTTTACTGATACATTCTGTAACATTTTTTCAAGTATTTTAATAGAAAAAATCATCATGTGATTTTAATTTACTTCCAATTTTCAACATATTTGTGCAATCATGTTACATTTCTGACATCTATAGTCCGCTCTAAAACAAACTACCAGAAGGTAAGGCCATGTTGAGTTGATTATATGGATGACATCCGCGATAAAATTGAAACAATTGTTGGAAATAGGCCGTCTCCCAAGCTAGCGACTCCCTTGACATGGAAATTAGAAGAGAACCGACAACACAATCCGGCATTCCTGGTCAAGCCAAGGCGCCTGCCGAACAGTGTTCTACAAATTCCTGTGGTCGCAGGGCCAGCATCAGCATCAACGATCCTGTCTACAGGTTCAAGACCAGCCCTGCCTACGAACTTGAACCTTAGAACTCAAAGGACTGGTAGCCCACGTCAGATCGTTGTGCCTTCTTTCCTCTTGTGTAATGCCAGATCATTAGTTAACAAATTAGATGAATTTCATACTGTCTTGTTAAATGAGAACATTGATGTAGCGGCGGTATCAGAAACATGGTTCCACAACGATGTTCCCACCGATTTCTGGTCTGTAGATGGATACAATGTGTATTGTAAATCAAGGAATGACAAACGGGGTGGTGGGGTTGCTTTGTATGTGAAAGACGGCATAGATGCACGGCAGCTCACGACAATTGATGTACCTCTCGACATTGAATGTTTATGGCTCATGTTAAGGCCTAGGCGCCTACCCAGAACGATAACCTCAAACCCCATGTGCAGATATGTTAAGACATCACTTATGTGATAGTATTGATAAGCTCAGATCCCAGTACAACGATGTTGGATTCATGGTAATGGGTGATTTTAACCACATTGATCTGTCTGACCTTTGTTGCGGTAATGATCTCCAACAGATTGTAAACGTACCTACCAGATTGGGGTCCACTCTCGACTTAATTGTTACCAACCTTACTGAATATTATCACCCTCCGTCTGCTACTTCGCCTCTTGGTCGTGGTGATCACAACGTTGTGCTGTTGACACCGAAACACCGTGCACTCGAGAACAGGGCTACAAAACGCCAGTCTCGACCGATGAAGGACTCCAGCATCCGGTCCTTTGGTCAGTGGGTGACCCAGCACCAGTGGAACGAGGTAACAGAAGAGCAGGGTACGCAGAACAAAGTCACCGCCTTCTACAGGACATTACTACAGGCAATAGACAAACACTTCCCACTCAAATCTGTACGGATACACGTGCGTGACAAACCGTGGATTTCCCCCAGTATCAAGACTTTGATTAAGACCAGACAGCGAGCGTTCAATCAGCAGAAATGGGATGAATGGCGTAAACTCCGCAACAAGATCCTGAGGGAAATCAAGACCGCCAAGAAGCAGTTCTACAAAACCAAAGTGGAGAAGTTAAAAAAGGAGAACCCGGGGGCCTGGTACAAGGAACTGAACGTTCTTATCGGCAAGCAAAAGAAGGAAATGACAGTCCGGGTTGAGGGGACAGACTCAGAGGACCACCGAGGCATTGCGGACAAAATCAACGAAACCCTCACCAACATCACAACGTCCTTACCACCGCTGAACCTGTCCGATCTACCGTCGTTCCTCCCAGCGAGACCACCGCCGACGGTCCAGCCTTGGCAGCTGTGTCAGAAACTACTGAAAGTGAGAACCACAAAGGCTCCAGGTCCGGATGGAGTTTCAGGCAGGGTGTTGAAAGAGTTCGCTTACGAACTCTGTACGCCTATAACTGACATCCTTAACACGTCCCTGAGAGAAGGTATTGTTCCGCAGGAATGGAAAGAGGCAACCGTTGTACCTCTTCCCAAGACGTCTCCACCGAACATTAACCAGCTCCGCCCCATCTCACTGACATCACTGATCGCCAAAGTCTGCGAGAGCTTCGTTGCGTCATGGGTGTTACAGGACATAGAGCACAATATATCCTCGGACCAATTCGGGTGCCTGAAAGGCCGTTCAACTACACACTGCCTGGTCAGCCTCGCAAACCAACTCTTCAAAACTGCGGACAGACTTGGGTCTTGTAGTACATGGGTCCTTACTGACTACAGTAAAGCTTTCGATCTCGTCGACCATACTGCAGCAATGAAACACCTGCTTGTGATAGGGGTGAGGCCAGAACTGATCCCGTGGCTTGCCAACTTCCACTCGGGACGTACACAGAGGACCAGGTACCACGGAGTCCTGTCCCAATCAGAACAACTCTCATGCGGTCTGGCGCAGGGTGCCAAACTGGGACCGATCGTGTTTATCGCCCACATAAACACCTCGACAGACACCATACAGTCCCCAGCCTGGGCCTTCGTCGACGACTTAAACATCATTGAATCGCGACGTCTCTCCCAAACATCGAGACTACAGAAAGACCTCGACGAGCTAACATCGTGGTCAGACAAGAACAGTATGCAGCTTAACGCCGGTAAATGCAAGGCTATGCACATTTGCTTCAGCCGGACACCCCCACCGCCACCTCCCCTCACCATTCATGGTCACGTCCTGGAGGTAGTGGGCGTCGCTAAGTGCCTCGGAGTGTCTTTCCAAGCCGACCTAGGGTGGGGAACCCATGTCATGGACATTACAAAGAAAGGAAATCAAAGACTGCATCTTCTCTGCCGACTGCGACAGTTCAACCTACCTGTGGAGGACTTGCTCACCGTATACACATGTTTCGTCCGGCCGGTACTTGAATACGCCGCGCCAGTCTGGCATCCCGGACTGAAGAGTACACAGCACAACAAGATAGAGAGGATTCAACGACGGGCGACAAGGATCATACTGGGACATAACCTCTCGTACGAACAGTCCTGTAAAGCACTGAGGTTACATAGCCTCCATGAGAGACGTGAATACCTGTGCCGAGAGTTCGGGAAAAAACTGTCCAAGTCAACTCTCTATCACCACTGGCTCCCTCAGACAAGAGGCGAAGTAACGGGGAGGTCAACAAGGCAAACCAACAAATTCGACCTTATTCTAGCACGCACGAAGCGCTACTCCAACAGCCCTTTGCCCTACATAGTTAAACTCCTAAATGAGTCGACGTAAAGAAGTAATGTATTGAGTCTTTTATCATGTATATACATATAGAGAGAGATCATGTTAATAAGTGGAAATCGAAATCCAATTTTATGTATAATTTCTGAGCTAGAAGGATATTTTAAAGTTGTTTTTAAAGTTGTTATATATTATAATGTTAAGGTGGGCACTGATCAATGTACAGAAACATGCAATTCAGCCTCCGGGCTGCAAAATGTTTTTTAATGAATAAACCAGTCATCATCATCATCATGGCATTAATTTTTGGCCGTTTCCAAAAAAACAAAAATTCAACCATACTGTAAATCGTACAAAACAGTTGCACAGAAAGCAAGTTGAAAAAAAAATACACTAGAAAACGATACCAATGTCGTAGAATGCCAAAGTCAAACGAAAAAGACGAAAATGTGAAGAAATGACTTTAAAGACTTGATTATTAGCCAAACGACTAGAGCCATTTGTTCAACCCTCAAAACCACGTAGACTTCATAATGAAAGCAACTTTTTTGGGGCAAACTTTTTTATTCGCACGCTCGCATCAGTTTTGGGGTTCCCAGAGGATGTTATCCATATAGTCACATCAACACGGCCTAAGTAAATATGGCTGACAGCTGTGTTTCCAGCTTTTAAACACACTTGTAAGGCCGCATATTTTGGCATCTCCATTTCCCGAATGGCACTTGTTTGAGTAATGTTAAATCAACTTACTGTGTAAAGGGATGCCAATAAAATCTTTTTGTATTGTCCTATTGTTACATGATACAGATTTAATTTACCACGTTCAAACACGGTATATGTGATATAATCTACCGTTATTAGGTGAGGATCGTACTGGAGGCCTCCACTGGAGATGTCGAGTTGATCTTCAATGGAGAAAACACAGACAAGTTCAGCTGGTTCTCCCAGTCTCGTCTGATCTCCTCTCCGTGGAACGACATTAATACGGAGCCTAAAAACTTCTTTTCGGTTGCGGGAGACACCAATCACCTACGGTAAATCTTATGCTATCAGTTATGTATATGTATTAAGCACTTGCTTAGACTACGCCAGAAAGTACCAGCCGATAGTTTTCAAGCTGACGCTCTATCTTGTCAGCTAGAGTTAGACAAAACTGGAGCCAAATGTTGGGCATCAGGAGTGCGCAAGTCCCTGGAAGAGTGTGGTTATGGTTACATATGGCACTGTCCCCTCTCATACAACACAAATGCGTCTCAAATTATTAACTCCATCCATCAGCGACTAAAAGACATTTACATCCAAACCTTCTTTAAAGAAATACACAATGACACCAGAGGTGGTCCTGCTAAAAACAAACTTAGGACCTATAGACTGTTCAAATTGGCCTACAATGAAGAACAGTACCTAAATATCGACAACACACGGCACAAAAACGCCGTCACAAAACTACGGATCAGCTGCCATAAACTACACATTGAGACCGGTCGACATAACCGCACTCCCCTGGAACAGCGTAATTGTCGATACTGTAATCTAGATAGAATAGAAGATGAACTTCATTTTGTAGTAGAATGTAGTTTGTGTAACAGTGCGAGAATTGAACTTTATAGACGAATAACATCGATGTTTCCCCACTTTACACACTATACACAAGTAATACAAATTCACTTTTTTAATGAACTTTGACAAACCCCCGATCCTTAAACTTGTATGTTCTTATCTTTTCAACATCACAGAGAAGCGAAGAGAAGTCGAAATTATGTAACAGACTGTAGTGCTAGTACTAGATTGATCTTGTTGTGTATATATTTGTGTATTCAAGTTAACCTTTGTACCTAACCCAGTGGGTATGTTGTACAATAAAGGTCTTCATTCATTAATTCAGCGGACCATAGTACATAGATAGATGGCTTGGGTATAGATAAATTATGTCCTTTCTAGTCTTAAATGTTCATCTGTGTTGGTACAAGTCATTGTGAAGCAAGTTTAAACCGTTATTTCCAACACAAGTGAAGGAATTGAGAATAGGGATAAAGGAATAAGCAACACAAGATAAGAAATCCACAGAGTTGTCATAGACTTTCTGCAAACTATACGATTTGCTCCTCAACAAGTCACGTGTGTCATCTGCATAACGTGACGTCACGACGCGGTTGTTTGCTTAGTCCATGTTGAAAATCGCTGTTAAAACGTACGTCATAATTTTTTAATTATTATTAATTATAATGCTTGTATAATGCGTATAAATATATAGAATTATAAAATTAATACCTCATTCTGTTATTACTGATGGTAAGTATATTACACAAATACTACTATACATCTTAGACTAAAATGCAATAAAAGACTGCCTTTTTTCCTTGTCAATGCAGAACATTTTTCATCAGTCGAAGCTACAACGGCTGTCCACAAGACTACGGTTGGCTTGTGTTGGGAGAGGGACACTCATGCACATGGGAGCAGGCATCTGTTTCCCGAAGACCAAACATTTTGTTTTCTCTGACAACTACGCACGTCAACTGGAATGGCGGTATTGTTTTTTTTTCATTAATTTTCTTTACTTATTAACAAATCTAGGCTTTATTGACAATCAACAATGGTGCATATGAAACAAATGGGTCAAAGCTATTGAAAAATACAACAAAATGCTACCTTTACCGCTGCATATATAGGTTTTTTCAGTTTATATTGGTCACTTAACTGTACAAGAGTTGGATCGGTTAAAGGCATCGAATGCAATTTCAGGGAGACAAAACAAAGCAAAAATTCGATACGTCAGCATTTCATACTTAAAGCGCTTTGAATACAGCCCGAAACAACTTACGTGAGACGTTCCTATATTTTGGGGTACCACCAACAAATAGCTATAACCAGCCGACGATAATAATAAAAAAGCAACACTTTTTTGATTAGTGACTTTGCATTATTGACTCAAAGATATAAGTATACTATGGATAAGGATTGATTTAACTTACTACATTAAAAGAATGACTATGAAATTGACCTTGAAAGTCCAGTTTTGCTGCCCTGAAATTGCATTGGATGCCTGTTGGTCCAGGGAAACTTTTACCCTCTAAGGTGTTAGCACATCTGAGTTGTTTTTCTCAATAACATAAAACTAGAAATTGAACTTTATGTTATTTCTTTGTCATGTGAGCTCTTTTGATTTTTTTTACAGGGAATAATGTTGGAAGAGCCAATCGCATGGTCATTTACATAGAAACGGGTAAATTTCCTCCTCATGCATTATCACAACTACAGTTAGTTTTACGGTGCCTAGTTATATTACACATCACTTTGAGTAATAAAACTAGTGACAATTATATTCTTCAAATTCGGACTCATTAACATAAAAGAATTAAAGTTAAGGAACACAGACACAAGGCTGCTAGCGCCTTACTTTACATTTCTTTTATTAAAAAATAAGCATATTTGCCACATATACCTTTGAGTTAACCTTAAAAGGTATTTCTAGTCATTTGAATAGAACAAGATTATAAGACTACAGTTATCAATAAGAAATCACAATATAAAAAGTTGTTTTAAGCTTCCCTTTGAGCATGTATAAGCACTGGGGAATAGCTAACGTAGTACGTACAGTAGTAGTATATATTGTGTAAATTATAGACTTTGCCAGCGTGCACGGCAGCAAAGTTATACTTCGTATTTACCTTGCCAAGATTTGATTCTTGTTAACTCCAACGATTAATAATAAACTAAGAAGAATTTATAATGCAAATCTTTATGACGTAGACCCACATTAATTACTTTAAGGTTACTTGTGTTATATAAATGAATAGTAGTCTTTTCTGTAAGACAGTGACGACATTTGATAGTGGCTAATTTTACCAATAATATGGGGGTATCTTTTACAAAAAGGGTAGACTCCTTTTATAAACTAAAGAGGAATCTTTAAATTATGCGTTATTATTGATATGCATGTCCTTTATTAATTCAGAGGAATGTACTGAGTGCGAACAAGTCTGCACGTATACAAACAATGAATTCCAGTGTTCCTGCCATGCCGGATACACCTTAGAAGAAAATGGCGCATGTGACGGTGAGTACAACCATGCTTTACTTATAAAAGTAAAAATAAGCCCGAAAATGTTAAAGTAGACACCCATTGGAAGGAAAAATTATTGTTTAATTTTGGTTTCTTCAGTCTGAACACAAATAGCCAATGAAATGTAAGAGTCACGGTGCCGGTGAGTACTGATGTTTGGTGGTTTTCTATATGTGGCAACTGAAGATATTACAATTGTTTCTTTTCATCATTAGAATCAGTGTTCTTCACACCTCAGTGTTGTTCAAGTACTGAATATGAATGTGTTTCAAATGTAGGAAAAGAACAGAGCAGTACCAGTATTTCTTCCCAATGTCGTTAACTAAGGGTAGACCACGTGAAGGCAGCATTCTGTATTGCCTTGTTACATTTGTAGTTAATTTTCCTATTTTTTTTAATCCAGACATTGACGAATGCTTGATAGAAAATGGCGGTTGTGATCACATCTGCACGAACACCGAGGGGAGTTTTCAGTGTTCCTGCAACCCTGGCTATATTTTGAATACTAATGGATTGACATGCGATGGTAAATCTTATTTGTAGCAATACTTCCTAGTACACAGACGTTCTCTATCCCATGCCCTCTGTCTGAATAGGGTTAAAGGCATCCAATCCTACTTCAAGGCACCAAATATTCTGGATGAGGAAATCTGTCTGATATTGATATTTACTAGCATTTCTTAGCACATTTTTGTCATCATTTGATACTTGCATTGAAATAGCTAAAAAAACAAGTTTTGTGAGGAGCCTTTAACCCTATTCAGACAGAGGGCATGGGATAGAGAACGTATGTGTACTAGGAAGAATTGCTACAAATAGTTTTGATAAATAAATTATTTTTGATAAATAAATAGCTACAATGAGACTTTGAAACAAAACAAGCAACCGTTTTCCGTCAGTTATATCACATTTTTGCATTACAGATATCAGTATCCTTTAGGATACGATTGATTAAATTTACTACATAAAAGAATGACTAGAAAATTGACTTTAAAAATCCAGTATTGCCACCCTGAAATGCTGCTTTGGATGCCTTTTAGAGAAATATCCTAAAGGCTAAGGATTCTTACCACCGCCTTAACAGTTCGTAATAGCACTGCGTTCATGTATGGCAAATAAAGCAATCACCATTGGTCCTTTTGTCTACAGCAATTTGAAGCACATGGGATTTTCAAAGAATTCAAAATATAGAAATCGACCAACATCACATAAGGACATTTTCTTTTCTAATACATAATAGGGATGTGTTTTAAGTTGATTTATTGATTATATTGAAAGATAATTTATTGACTATTATACTTTTCTACCCACCTCTACAGATCCATGTCTAACGGCCACGCCCCTGTATGAACCACACCGCAGTACTGTGTACGTCCCAGCCGGATCAAACGTGGATGATGGGGGGTTAGAGGAAGGCTGGTACCGCTTCACTCATGTAGGAGGCAGGATGCCAACCAGCTGTGTACAGTCAGATCACTGTGGTACAGCGTCACCGGTATGGCTGAACGGAGAACACCCCACAGGTAATTCGTCTTAGCTTTTCTATTGATCGAACTTCACTAAAGCTACGGTCACAACCCGGCCGCCGTACGTGCTTCTGCGTGCTGTCTACGTGCAAAAACGTGGGCAAACATAGGGCATCCGTGCGTGGTGAGTACCGCCTCCGTACGGAATCCTACGGATTTGGGAGCACGCAGACGCACCGTAGAACTTTAAGTGCATGTAAAACTTTTTCTACTTGCGGTCTGCGGATTCACCACCCGTGCGTGCGAGTACGAGCGACGCGCGTGCCCCGTACGTGCCGTACGGAAGAAGCACGTGTGAGTACGGCCTCCTTACGGTAAAGTTTCAATCGCACAGAGATCGTACGTTGAAAGCACGTACAACTCACCACGGCCAGACGTGGCGTGCAGACCACACTCTTACACCTTGCGAAACCGTGTAAGTGACGTGCGTCGATGCCACTCCTTCCCCACGTTTTCAGAAAAACGTAGCAGACGTAGCCTCCCAAAAAAACGTACGGACAAAAAGCACGCACGGCGGGTTGTGACCGAGGCCTAAGATACCCAGACCCTGGATGTAGTTTATTGCATCCGTGTAGTTTAGTGCAAAATTACGTACACTGCTGACCGTACGGGGTGTACCCGTCCGACTAGGGTCTGAAGTCGGGAGGACACCAGCTGTCGTAGCCATCATCAAGATCCCGTTTCTTTAATCATTAGCGCTAACCCACTGTGGCGCTATCCTGTATAGGGGCCCTGGGTTGTCCCAGGATTTTTTTTTGCAGATGATCAGTAAGGCCATGTTGATTTGATGATATGGATGACATCCTCTGGGAACCCCAAAATTGATGCGCGCGTGCGAATAAAAAAAAGGTTTTGCAAAAAAAAAGTTGTTTTCATTATGAAATCTACGTGGTCATGAGGGTTGAACAAATGGGACAGAATATGGTTTGGCGAATAATCTAGTCTTCAAGTTCATTTCTTTACAATTTCGTCTTTTTTCGTTTGATTTTGGCATTCTGCGACATTGGAATAGTTTTTACTTATTTTTTTGTAACTTACGGTATATTTTTGCTCATTTTGCAACCGTTTTGTACGATTTACAGTATAGTTGAAAACTTTTTTTTTTTGGAAACGGCCGAAAATCCATGCGCGCGCGGATGTCATCCATATAATCAAATCAACATGGCCTAATGTAAAACAATTGGTTCACTGCACACGGGGGGGGGGTGGTTTACCTTCACAGAAGTACAACATATCGTTTTTGTTCTGTTTCTTCTTCTTCCTATTCTTTGCCAAACACATAAGGTCCATAACCTGGCACAGACGTCTGTCACCATGGTAACTTGTGCTGTAGCAACACTCTGTGGTGTTGGGTTACATTATGTAGCAGGACATAGTCTAAGAGCCTGCTCACCATACATAAGAATGTATTTGACTTTGAGTAAGAATAACAGTGCAGTAGATTGTTGGGCTAGACCAGGTGAAGCAAAAATTATGCATTTGCTTTGCAAATGTTGTTTTTCTAGTCTAATATTACGTTTTGTCTCATTTTGCACCGGGGAATCGTTTACAACATCTATTAACGTTACACCTTCTGTGCTGTGAGACATAATGAGTTGTTTTTTTTACTTGTTAATTTGACAAAATTTTACCCTAATCTAGACGACAGCATTGCTGATCGAGTGGCGTGTGCCAATACTGGAGTGTCCGGTGACTGTTGCACAGAACGGTACGACATTCAAGTCAAGCGTTGTCCCACCCCTGGACAAACCTACTACGTCTACAAACTCGTACCGACCAACTATGGTGAGGCGTACTGTGCAGGTACGTCAACCTGAAATATTATAAGATAACGGCGGTAGATTGTGGCTGGCGAAATTTAATATACCAACATATAACAATTATTATAGCAAACTTGCACAATCATTCCAAAAGATATAACAACTAACTACAGTTCCATAAGGCTAATCTACCTAATAATGGAAAGTGGGTAGTATGGAATGGGGACGTAGGTTGGGATGATAATGGGCTTTTACAGACATTGGAGGAATTTCTAATGTCCAGACATTATTTATATGCTCATATTTATGTCATGTCGAGATTGTCACATGTCATTATATACTTAAATTTGCCATTGAGATACATCCTTGTACAGAATTAAAATAGATCTGTAAATTTAAATTTTGTATATCACAATCAAAATCTATATGTATACATGAACTGTGTTATTTGATATAAGATATTACCTTAAGTAATACGTATGCTAAAATAAGACTTCATTGTTCATTTTCACAGGTAACAGCGTTCCCTGCCCGAATGGTGAAGTGTACAACGTATTCCACCGAACATGTGGAAGTGAGTTACAAGTTACGAGTTTGTTACAAAGCGACATCGTCATATGCACTGACATAGACAACTTTTTATTGCCTATCCACGGTAGCCTGGGTACCATCTGGATTTTCGCTACGCAACGCTCGACAAAAATCACGATGTTTTCGAGCGTTGCGTAGCGAAAATCCGGATTTTACCCAGGCTATATCCACGGTTGATTATGCAAAAATTGCCCAACGAATGGCACTGGAAAATGAAATACATTCCGTTCGCTAGTATATTTACTAAGGAAAGGAATAGATTATTTCAAACAGCTGCCACATCCCCCATCATTTTACGATCTTGAAGATTACCAAAAGTAGTACGTTTCTACTTTTTAATATATCCCAAAACCCACTCATCATATAGAACGGGGAACTTATCGTTATCCACTGCCTTCAAAAGAAGTAAAACCCTATAATAGTAAATGTATTACATGAAGTAGTCTTATTAGTAGTTGTATGACTTCCCTGTTGCTCTACTTTACTTCTACGACCCTGCCTTTGGGTATGGCTTTCAAAATAAATATAAATTCTTATTATTGAACACCTGCAACATAGATAATTTAACTCTTCACATCATAAAAGTAATAAAAATGTATTCCTCTTTCTTGCAGATATCATCCCGTTGTTCTCTGACAACCCTGTTTTACATCCACCTGAGTATGACGTCATCAACAATCACGTGACCTTCACGTGCGAGGTTGAGTATGACCCCGATGACGTCACAGCCTGGTTTGACGTCATGTTTCTGTTCGATGACGTGTACTTCCCGGACGTGCCTACTGTGACTCTCACGGCGGGAAAAAGGCGCGCAAAGATGGACGCCAGTCATCTGGGTCTGAACCAGCTGTACACTCACTGGCCTGTCACTTGGCCTTCGAAGATGGGGAAAGCTGTAAGTTGTTCACCATTTTATATAATATGATATGAATCTTTATATTAAAATGATTAAGTTTGAATCTTTAAAGGTGCATTATGTCACATTTGTGTACAAAAAAAAAATTAAATATATTTCATTCAAGAAAATATTGTAAAATCAAATCTTCCAAAATCATATTCAGTTGCTTGAGTAACTGTTTTTTTTTTTGCGAAAATCTTGTGTGATTGTAATTTACTCGCACTTTTCAACATATTTGTGCAATTATCTTACCTTTCTGGCATTTATTATTTATATTTCATCATAAGACGGCTAAGTAGCCCCATTCAGCTTACATTACGTAGCATACAGTAAGAAAAGAGTGGGCAACATACAGTAAACATAAAATTGTTGGCACTAAAACAGCGCACTCGAAGCGCACTCAGTTTGTGGTGCCAACACAAACTACCAGGATGTGAACAAACATGGTTGACAGCTGTGTTTTAAACGTCATGGCACAAAAACTTCTTAAATGTCACTTATTACAATGGGGTATGGTTGATCCAATTACTCTATAAAGAAATGACCAGAAAAAATACTATCCTCCCAATGTTACATAATGTAGCTTTAAGGAATGCGATTTTCAAGAGAATATTTTGATTATATATATATCTAATGATGTGATCTTCACTGTACGAACGTTTCCCACATGTGATGTCAATGACATGTTTTGTTTTCTCACAGGTTTCCTGCCAAGTGAGGTCTTACTGGGAAGATACGCCAGAGGTGAAAAGCGAGTGGCGTCAGAGCAACTCCTACTGGGCAGGCATTGAGGTATAGCGTCAGCTTTTATATTGCACTGCATCGCCATAAATTCGAAAGATCAGAACCAAAAAAAATACTTAAGATCCGAGTCATGAAGCTGCTATTTTGCAATATTTTGTGTTGATCTGCATTTTGGTGGTTGCGTCGAGTTGACAATAGCGGTGGGCCAATTGCAAGTTGACCAGATTTGCTATAAGCCGAGTTGATAATGGTCCAAGTCGTCCTGATTCCATAATTTAACATACCAGCTCATTTCATAAGCATTCTTTTGCGATTTATTATGCTCCACACCACACATGGTGATTACATCATCACCCGGACGGAGGCGTGGCGAACCCCGTCTTGTATTAAGCTAACGAAAGGGTATGCCACCTCGTTAGGGGCGGTATAACCCCGACCAATACGGTCGACCGATGATGATGATGATGATTATGCCCTACGTCCCCTCCATAATTGTATATATATCCAGAAAAACGTAGTGCTTTTTTATCCCTCAGTTAGTAAAATAAGGTGCTGCATGGTCAATATAATTTTTTTCCAGTTAGTTAAGCCATGTTTTATCTACATTTTTTCTTTATTTTCACAATCGCAAGACGTGGAGACGGCACACTGACGTTTTTTCAACTTATATTAATGCCGCCACCAGCACAGGTGACAATACAATACTCATTTTCACCTGCGTGAAGTGAGGAAAGTCGTGTAAAGTGCCTTCCCCAAGATCGGTGGCATGTCAGGACTCGAACTCGTGACCTCTATAACATCTTATTGTGTGTCCCGTTACTAGGCAGAAGACGTTGTCGTCATCGAAGAGTCTGCTGACTACTACAAGTTGGAGCTGGCCAGTACCGTCCCGTTTGTCTGTAGAGGGGGAGCGCAGAGGGTGGGGCAGTGCTACGTAGACGTTCCCTTGGCATTCGACGCAAATGACGACGACGTCTGCGTAGCTCAACGCTGTCATGTGAGGTTGTACGCCGACAGGTGGTCCGAAACGGAACATAGACTGAAAGGAGAAGCCATCATGGTAGCCGTGAAAGATGGACAGTGGGACGGAGACAAACATATGCTCATCAACTTCGGAAGGATCACCCACTCTCCGGTAACGTTAACCATCCCACACATCTTCCACGGCTACACACCACAGTTCAACATCCAGGTAAGTGTCGAATATGTTCTGCTAGGACATATCATCCTTGATAGTGTACAGATTTTGTTTCTTGTCAATAAAGCGGCAAGGTTTCCTTGTGGTTAGGGTTGTTGACTCCGAGTCCGGAGGTTTTGGGTTCCAATCCTTTTCAGACCCAAATGTTCTTTCCTTGTCGAAGGCACTTAGCACCTATTTCCTAACTTTATCCAGGAGTGAATGAGTAACTAGCGTTGGTTAGATACGTCCTCTTGACAGGACTTAAAAGGTCTCATGTCTAAGGAAAACCACACCTTGAGTACATTAAACATCCCACCACACTTATCGAAAAGTGCAGAGGCCCTTCTCGGTGTGTGTGTGGTTCAAATCTTACAGTAAGGTTTCAGGTTTAACATCTTGAAGAGGTGATTATGTCAATTATTCCACAAATGTGCGAAAGCTTCATTAATTGATAAAAAATTCAATTAGCAGCGAATGAATACTTTGCATGATAAGTTGTTTGTCAAAGTGTATTTATATTCATTGTTAGTTGCAGATGTAACTCACGATGACATTTTTATACGTCCATCTTTGTCAGGTTCGGACAGTTGATTCCGTCGAAGCGACGTGCACGTACTCTGGCGACCCCCATGGCATTACGTTCGACGAGCTTACAGGGTATGTGCAATTATAGATATTCTATGTTGAGTACTAGACACTTGTTTAGACTCTGCAATAAAAGTATTTGACATTCTAAAATTGATCTCAAAGCCACACTGCAGGAAATTAGACATTAAGCATACCTTAAAACTCGTGCAAAGGTTCCGTTTTTAACGGATGAGGTATAATGCTCAGATATCGAATTTTATGCATTGAATAGTAACTCTTTTCACTTCACCCATGAAGGTGTTGTACTATATTGTATACAGTCACTGTGGCTCGGCGTTAAGTACTGCAGATATCTCATGGCTATTGCTACACATGACATTAAAATACTGTACTTTTGTTTCAGAAATTGGCTGAAACAAATCCACGTGATATTACCTGGAGAATTCGTTCTCTACAGGAGTACAAAACCAGGCCGAAAATTCGAAGTAAGTGGCTAGGCCATAATGACATTAAATGTATGCCATGTTGTCGCATCTTTTGTGCTATTTTCAATAAACGTTAACAAACAAACTGAATATATTTCTGCAATTGAAACTTGTGATAGATTGTTTACCATTTTCATCAATGGCAAGAAATTAGAGATTTCATGCCTCTGTCAATATTTAGTGAATTTCTTTGATTCCCTCTATGGACCCACTGGCACCCTGCTAACTGTCACCTTCGAACCTGCTGGCTCTTCGCAAGCTTCTTGGACCACATTGCCTGTGTCTGACCTTTTTGTGGTCTGTAGTAAGGCACTAAATTCAACCACGTGTTGTCATTCAAACACATATACACTCACTGACTCACTAACCCACTCGCACACTCTCTCACACACACACACACACACACACATACACACACACACGAGCACACACGCACGCACGCACACACATGCGCAAAAAACATGCGCACACACGCACGCACACACACACACACACGAGTGCACACACGCACGCACACTCATGTAATGCCATTGGTGTACCCTCTCTGCCGTATCAAGGTCCACTCACGACACAGACGGTGCCGCTGGGATTTCGACATCTCCTGTAACTGCGGCGCGGCAATCCGTGAGGGGAACGATGTCGTGATCGTTGACTACTGCCACAGGACGTCACCAATGATCCGGTACAAAACAGCGACAGGAGGACCCCTCTCTCCGGGCGTTATAGTTAGTCAGGACGGCAATGGACAGTACATAAGGGTAAGAAAACAATATCTTTTCAGACAACAATGTCATAGAATTAAAGAGCCATGACCAACACAGAGGTGTAGATAGTGTGACTCAGCGAAAAACAGGCCGGTCGTTAATTTCATTTCATATGAATGAATTGAATGAAGACCTTTATTGTACAAACATACCCACTGGGTTAGGTACAAAGGTTAACTTGAATACACAAATATATATACACAACAAGATCAATCTAGTACTAGCACTACAGTTTGTTACATAATTTCGACTTCTCTTCGCTTCTCTGTGATGTTGAAAAGATAAGAACATACAAGTTTAAGGATCGAGGGTTTGTCTAAGTTCATTAAAAATGTGAATTTGTCTGTATTACTTAGGTGTGTAAAGTGGGGAAACATCGATGTTATTCGTCTATAAAGTTCAATTCTCTCACTGTTACACAAACTACATTCTACTACAAAATGAAGTTCATCTTCTATTCTATCTAGATTACAGTATCGACAATTACGCTGTTCCAGGGGAGTGCGGCTATGTCGACCGGTCTCAATGTGTAGTTTATGGCAGCTGATCCGTAGTTTTGTGACGGCGTTTTTGTGCCGTGTGTTGTCGATATTTAGGTACTGTTCTTCATTGTAGGCCAACTTGAATAGTCTATAGGTCCTCAGTTTGTTTTTAGCAGGACCACCTCTGGTGTCATTTTGTATTTCTTTAAAGAAGGTTTGGATGTAAATGTCTTTTAGTCGCTGATGGATGGAGTTAATAATTTGAGACGCATTTGTGTTGTATGAGAGGGGACAGTGCCATATGTAACCATAACCACACTCTTCCAGGGACTTGCGCACTCCTGATGCCCAACATTTGGCTCCAGTTTTGTCTAACTCTAGCTGACAAGATAGAGCGTCAGCTTGAAAACTATCGGCTGGTACTTTCTGGCGTAGTCTAAGCAAGTGCTTGATAGCGTTTAGGGAGGCTTCCACTTGAATGGGAAACCTCCCTAATTCCGCTCTTACAGCGAGGTCGCAAGCCGATCTCGGGACGCGAAGGGTTTGTTTACAGAATTTCAGGTGGATGGATTCGATGGGGCAGAGTTTGGAGCTTTTGACTGATCCCCAGATTTCCGATCCATAAAGAATTGAGGGTTTGACGCAGGTGTCGAAAAGTTTGTTTCTGATGGATAAAGGAGCATCAGCTTTGTCTAATGATTGATTAATACCGAATAAAGCTTTAAGACCTCTACTGTACAAGTGCTTGTTGTTCGCCTTGAAAGTACCAGCAGCGTGAACGACCATTCCTAAATAACAATATGAAGTTACTATCTCAACAGGTTTTTTCTCATACATGAAGGACAGGTCTTTTGGTAGGCGACCACCCTTAGAGAAAACAATAATTTTTGTTTTCCTAAGGTTTACATTTACCTTCCAAGTATGGCAGTATTGTTCTAATCTATTCAGCGCAGATTGTAGTCCTTGTTTTGACTCAGAGAGAAGGACTAAATCATTTGCATATAATAAACATGGGACTAGCTTGTTGTACATGGTTGGTGAGTCACAAATATCATCATTGAACATAGATGTAATATCACTAAGAAATAAGTTAAATAAGGTCGGGCTTAAGTTGCATCCTGTCGGACACCACAGTTCGTTACAAAAGGTTCTGTTAGCCCATGACTGTGTTTGACACAATTACATATTTTAGCGTACATACATGTATCTCTTATAGTTTCGAGGAATTTACCCCCTATACCAAGACTATTTAATTTGAATAGAAGGCCTTTTCTCCAGACAGAGTCAAAGGCTTTACTGAAATCGACAAAACAAGCAAAAAGACGTGAATTTTTACTGAGGTACTTGCTAACTAATGTGCTAACTACGAAGAGGTTATCTGTTGTTCTGAAGTTTTTCCTAAAACCTGCCTGGTGAGGTTTAAAAAGGTTATTGTTTTCTGCATAACTAACAAGGCGATTGTTTAATATAGATGAGAATAGTTTACCTAAGCAACTAATTATAGAGATCCCGCGATAATTGTCTGGGAGAGAAGGGTCCCCAGACTTGTGAATTGGCACAATGTGACTGAGGGACCATTCTTGTGGAAAATGCCCGTTTTGCAGGCATGTATTGAACAATTGAAGGAGTGGGGTTTGGAGTACTATTTTGCCGGATTTTAACATCTCATTCAGTATCATATCATTTCCGCTTGATTTGTTGTTGTTGAGGTTTGAGATAGCTATGCCTAGTTCTTTTGATGTTATGGGGAGATCTAAAACGGTTGGGTTTGTAGGTAACGATGCTAAGTCCAGTTGGTCATTATCTGTAGTGGGAATATCATTTGTAACGTTATTTGAAGATTTGTCTAGGTTACTAAAATGCTTGAGCCATTCTTCTTCTGAGATTTGGTTGGTCTCTTGGTTTTTAGTTGGTTTTAGTTTGTTTAGTAGATTCCAAAAAGCATTGGGATTTCTGTCTTTGAGGTATGCTAATTCGGTCATAATGTGTTTGTGAAAGTCTCTTTTCTTCTTTTTAAAAAGTTTTCTGTATTCTTTCTTTCTTTTAAAGTATCTTCCCCTAATATCTGAGTTGTATGGTTGTTTTGTCAGAAGAGATGCTAGGGTCTTCAATTCTCGTTTCAGCTCTGTACAACTTTTGTCGAACCATTGTTTGTTTTGTTTTATATGGTATATAACTATTTTAATTACGTCTGGTAAACTCAACGTATCATGTGCAATATGGTATGTCCTTGTGGTCGTTTTACGTGTTCCATGTTGGATCACCAGCGGTCAAATTAAACAGGACGCGTGATCCATTTGGGGCCACCGGTGTCGCGGTGTTAATGTGATTTTAACACCAAAGTGTTTATGAGATTTAATCAACATTAGTAAGTTTATGGTGTCATAAGCAATATATATATATATATATGAAATGGGGACTTCTGATTGACAGGCGTCTTTATGGTTATCAGGTTTCTAAAGGATAGTTCTAAGATTTAATTCCCGGCATCGTTGATACTTTTACAGGTTACAATGCCTTCTGGCGCCTTTGTGGAAGTCATAGGGTCTGGGTTCGTCACTCTCCGTGTCCACGCGCCGGGGATAGACAAGGGGTACACCGAGGGGCTCTGCGGGACCTTCGATGGAAATCCTGCCAACGACGCCATGATGCCGGATGGCACCATTTCTACCCACCATATCTGGCCGGACTGGCACAGGGACTTCTCCTACGCTTGGCGGTAAGCAAATATTTAACTGTATCGTTAAAAGAACACACGGAAAGTCGCAAATTGAGGTATTTGGGTATGTTTTTATACAGTTTAGTGAGAGTAGTGGAGAAGTGGGTGAGACGAATTTTCTAACTACAGCCCCAAAAGGTCATACACAGGAAGTTAGGCCCTAGAAGCTGGCAGCGAGCCAAAAGGAAGATGGCGGAAAGTCTGTTGGTCCTAATGTCATTGGAAAATGCAGAGAGGTTCACAGAGAATCTCACAACAATGAATAAACTAGGAAATTTATTTAAAAAAGCCTTTAAAGCGGTACTAATATCGGTATGAATATTGTAAGCTATATGTATTGAGGTATTAAAGCGATTTAAATGTCCATTATAGGCGATCTCAAACCGTAGTCATTTATGGATTGATGGATTCTAATTTCGATACCATGTTTTTATAGAATTCCGCCCGGACAGAGCCTGTTTGACGTTGACTGTGTAGACGAGGTCAGCAGCCCCGTGTCTGAATCAGACTTCTGCACGTGTGGCAGAGGAAACAGAATCGAGTGCAGTCCGACTAAAACACGCAAAACTAACCATCTAAACGCCGTCTTCAACACCATACAACCATTTCAAGACGCAAGGAATAGAAACTGTGCAAGGAGAAGAAAGAGGGATCTGGAAAACATCGAAGACGACCCAGACTTGTATAACGACGACGTTGATACGACAGAATACGAGTTCGACTATGCCCTGGACTCGGAACCGGTTGTTAACAGCATGTGGCCGACCCCCAACAGAGGAATAACAGAAGAGGAGGCGAGGGGGAAGTGTCAGGGAGGAATCTTAAACCTGACCATTGCTGAAGCCTGTCGGGATGTGTACGGTGTGGACATCTTCTCTGGAGTGGACTTCTGCATGGCGGATGTTAAAGTGAGTCTGAGCCTAGTCTTTCGATAACGCCCCCCTCCCACAAGCAAGTACATATTGTATTCAGCCATCTTTAGAAACACAGTCTTAATTAGCAAACAATAGTTATTTTATTTTTTCTATGATTTTCACAATATGTATGTGACAATACTTTACATTTGGAACTGCATATGTCACTATGTTGGCAAAAATTTATGTGTATGTTACAATTACGTTACGTTTCAGACCGCATTGTTAGCAGTAAAGCCTAGCTCCATTGCACACTGAACCAGTGACACCTAGCTCCATTGCACAGTAAAACCAGTAACATCTACCTTCAGTGAATATTTAGTAAACCAGTCAGAAGTTATTTGATGAAGATAAAAGACGGTCATCGAAACGTAAACAAGTAGGTAAAAAAAACTTCGATGTCGTATATATTGTATTGTGTTTGCAATAAATAGTCACTGTGAAAGAGTATGTTCTATGTAACATCAAATCATGGATATGCCATTTTTCAGGTAACTGAAGATTTCCAGTATGTTGGCATCATTGTACAACAGATTCAAGCGGAATGTGCCGAAAAGGCCTACAACAACGTCAGCCTGTACGAGACCAACGAGAACGGAACTTCGGTGCCTCCAGCCTTCATCACTGAGAACCTGTGTCCGCGCCAGTGCAGTAACCAGGGCCGGTGTGTGAACAGTACGTGTGAGTGTGACGACGGTTACACGTCTGCAGACTGCTCCATACAGGTCGGCAGGCCTCCTGTCGCGCTAGGACTGCCGGGTAACGGTCTGTGTGACGTCAGAAGCCGTCCCTGCAGGAAGACGTCCTTCTTCGCCGAACCCGTGATGAACTCTGGGAACCTGACATGCAGGATCACCCAAGTTCAGGTTCGCTTCTTCCTTTTTTCTTCTATCTAGCCACCCTTCGCGTAATACATATCATATTCCATATTTCTTCTTCTTGTTCTTGTACGAGTGCGTTAACATTTTGCAATATAATTTGTAATCATAACGGTTCTTTCGAATGAAAGCTCATATATGTGGGTAGCATCTATAATTGTAGAATTTAAACTTTGTTCCAACACAAAAGTAGGAATTCTTCCACCGTCACGCAAGTATACATCGGGGCTTGGTAACCCTCTCTGAACCGTGAAGGGGGTAAAACCCGTCTTCCCGCCACGTTTTATTCACTCCTGACGTCATCACGCTTCCGGAAAATCAGAGCAGTGGATCATTCATCTGACGAGGGTCAACGGCTTGAACTAAACATTCATGGTGAGGTTCTCTTTTTGTGTTGGAACGAAGTTTGAACGCCACAAATATAATCCCACGTTCTTTCTTATTTTCTGTTCATTAGATACAAGATGATGGAATAAAAACCGAGGCTAACTCCAGCGGACGATCTGAGGCGACATTCCGCAGTTTTGGGGAGGTGTCGTGCGCTCTGCCCAGGTCTCCTGTACGGGACGGGACACCGGACACCAAGGACGGCGCGGTGGCTCACGGGATGCTGCTGTCCGTTAGTAACGATGGCGACCGGTTCAGTGAGGAGTTGTTCTTTACCGTGTACGACTCCGTCTGTCAGGAGTGTACTCAGGGAGGGGCCTGTACATGGAAGGTACACAACAGTTTACACTGGAAACTTGCAAGCCGTTCGAGTTTGGTCATTTTATGCGTACTGAATTGTTTTGTAACTATTTTTTTTTACTCAGCCGGACACTTGCATTATCAGAGGACACTGCTTTAGAAATGGAGACCCAAACCCGGACAACTGGTGTCAACAATGTCTGTCCGACCTTTCCAACACCACGTGGTCTCATCGTCAAGGTAAGATAATAACCTTTCATTATGTCCTTTTTTTTACCGTAGTCCTAACCTTTTATCTTCGTCTCCTCTACTACATTTCTGCAGAAACAAACTGATTTTCTTGTGTACTGTCTTCCTTTTCAGTCAACAGCCCTCCCAGGTTCACAATGACCTCCAGCACGATAATCAAACTTCCAGATGAAAGTCTGACCATGACTTTGGGCGCCGAGGATCCCGAGGGCAGACCCGTGACGTTCCTAACAGCGCCGCCTAGCAGCCCAACCCTGACCGTGCAGCCAAACGGGGAGCTGACATGGACGGGTGATCAACCCCTCTCCATCAACGTCACCATTACTGACGAGTGCGGCGCGTCTTCTGAACAGACGTTCCACCTCACCATCATGGCGTGTCCTTGTGAGAACGGAGGGTCGTGTGTGCCCGACATGCCCCGTGGGCGAGGCTCCTACACCTGCGTGTGTCCTGGGTACACCGGGGACGTGTGTGAAACTGAGCTGGACGAATGTCAGTCCAACCCGTGTGTGAACGGAACCTGTATCGACCTCGTGAACGGCTACAACTGTACCTGCGCGGAGGGATACATCGGCAGCCGGTGTGACGTGACCGTTGACAACATGTGTGCCCTGAACCCGTGCTTTCCCGACGTCTCCTGTATAAACCTAGAGGACGGGGGCTACTCGTGTGGACGGTGTCCTTCGGGATACGTCGGGAACGGATACGACTGCGAGGGTAATGACTTTTTGTTATGTCTTATGTAGCAAATGGCACAAAATGGAATCGGTCTGAAAGTCTTCTTTCAGTAGTCTACTCATTCGTTGTAAAAGAAACATGTGTTTAAGATTAATTTTCCAGTGATATATACTAGCTTCATTTTCTTATTGTGGATATCAGCTAATGATAAGCATTGAATAATAATCATAAATATCATGTCATTTCTTTTATCTTAAACAGACATAGATGAGTGTAAGTCTGACATACATGGCTGCCTGCACGATTGTAACAACCTCCCCGGCACATACGAGTGTACCTGTCCGGACGGGTTTGTGTTGATTGGCGATGACTGTATAGGTAAGACCAGCATTAGAAATACACGGTTTAATTTCTTATGTTGAAATTGTACACTGTATGCGCATATTTCCTTTCACCACACAGTTTTTGTTTAACTTTTTATACATTTTATTTAAAATTTCGATAATACAATACAGTGGCATTCAGACATAACTTCTATGCATATAACTCAAATAAACTGATATAATTTCTTAGCAAATGAAGTTAATGATAGTAAGGCTAAGTATATGAAGTTAGGATTGTCTTTTCAAGAGCTGCCCTATTCCTATTACAATTTAGTCTTCTGATACTTCTTACCTTAGCACCTTTTCTTTCACTCTTTGAACAGATGTGGACGAGTGTGGTTTAGAGCTGGACGAGTGTTCACACTACTGTACGAATACGAATGGCTCCTACACGTGTGGATGTCCGGCAGGATTCGCGCTAAACGCGGGCGAAAGGAACTGTGAAGGTAATTATGTCATTTAGTTATTACCTTCGCCAGAAGGGTATGTTTTCGACTTGGTCATAGTCGAGTATCTGTAGTGTGGGTCTGTAAATTCTGTATGTTTGTCAACAGCATAACTCGAGAATATGTGGATTGGTCTTCATATGATATCATATTTGGTAGGTGAGTATCTTTTGTGGAAACGAAGGTCTAGTTCGAATATGGCTCACCTGGCGTTGTCGAGCGGTAATGCAGCGGGCTTTTTATGCATTTGTTGTTTGTATGTGTACAGCACGAGAAGATGTGAATGGATCTTAATGATATTTATTCTTTATGTAACTATGATTCATAACAACAATGTTAATCTACGTTGCTTGCAGATATATTATGTTGAAAATTTCCCCATATGTTGTATATAAACGGATATGTAATCACCCTAATCATTAAAAAATGGCAACTATTTACTAAATGTAATACACTATGTCAGACGTGAACGAGTGCGCCAGCTCCCCCTGTCAGAATGGAGGTGAATGTCATGATGGGGTTAACCAGTACACGTGTTCGTGTGCCCGCGGTTGGGTCGGAGCGCATTGTGAGGAAGGTATGCATCTTTTCAATCCATTCTTTGCCTCTGTCTTTCCTTCTCTTTTAAAGTTTCGTCAATTTTAACATAGTCTTGTATGATGATCATATTATGATATTGACTCATTTTCTGACTTCGTGTACCATCATTAGTGATTGAATATTTTGAATGTTCAGACATAGATGAATGTAGCCTGACTAACCATGGCTGTCACGAATGTAACAACACTCCCGGGAGTTATGAGTGTTCCTGTGCGGAAGGGTACGTGGTCGGAGCCGGTGGGACATCATGTCAAGGTCGGTACATTGGATTTAAAAATTCATCATTATATTGATACCATTTTAAAGCTGCCTTACGTTAAGTAATTATGTAAGATGATACAAGAAGTCAATTCTTTAAGTAAGTTGAATCAACCTACTTCTAATAATTATCCTTCGAGAAGTTAAGGAGCCAAAATTTCCAGTAGTTAGTGGTGGCACCTGATCTGGGCTGTTTCAGTGCTAACTTTAGATGTCAAAAATGTAGAATAATTGTTCAAATATATTGATATTAAATCACACTTTTCAATCAAAATGTTTAATTTCAAAAAATTACAAAATGCGCCTTTAATTTTGGCCTACATCCACATTATTTACTACTGTACACAAACAGGTTAAATTGCTTTTCAAACCTATCTACCTAATAACTGATATCAGAGTCGTGCTAGCCCGTGAGTTAAAGATTGTGTCCTAACTTTCGATGCTGTATAATTTATACCTTTATGGAGGAAAGTTAATCAGTAATTTCGTACACAAGAAATTAGACTAAGTCTTGAACACATTTTTGGCTGTACAACTCCAGTCATTGTCAAAGAAGGAGCAATCCACCGCCCCTGGGACGTCACGATGCAACCATGTATCAGCAAAGACGGGGGGCACCACAGACTTTATGCATCCATTGCTCACATAGTCATGTTTTGTCAATTGCGTAGCCTGACGTCACAGGTCTGGTGGTTTGTTCATTATTTGACAAAGACAAGAACATTTGGGACCAATTTCCTGTGTTGGAAATTACAATATTTTTTTTCTTTATGATGACGTCTACCAACATAGATGAACTTTCAAGATATAATTTGTATAGTAACCATGTTTTTTTTAAGCAGATATTAATGAGTGCCTCCTAGACGACGACGTGTGCTCGTATGTATGTATCAACACCGAGGGGAGTTACTACTGCATCTGTCCACCTGGGTACACACCTCAAACAGACGAATGTTGTAAGTGTGCGTTTGACGTTCTTTTCATAAAGTACATGTATTTTTATACCATTCAATAAAGTATTCCAAAAGTATACACTTTAAATATTCGAATTCAGCGCATTTACTGTCTAGATGTAGCCGTACTAGTACTGTTTACCTATTACAAATATAAGGAGTCATTTTTTGTGTGTTTGCTTGAGTCCATAAAACGCCGATTTCATATGTTAAATGACAGTTATGTGTTTTTATATTTTTCGGCAGTTTTATTTTTTTTTCAAGTTTTATTAATAAAATCAGCCTTGCAGCCCGTTTACAAAGTCGACCAAGCTGAAATACACTGATTTTTACAAATTTTGTGCATAGTAGATACAAATACACATTTGCATGACAATACATATACAGACACGCAAACGAACATGTTACAAAATCACACAATACACAAGGGCACTGAAGTAAAGTCCAGAGTCTTGAAAGTCATTGCTACAATGACTCGTTGTACAGGCGTCATTGTACAACCCCGTCAAGCGTCATTGTTCAGCAGAGCTTTATGCTTTTTTTATGTTGTGAATTTATACACAATTACTTGTTTGTTTTAGATCAACCAACAGACCCACCAATACAGATATCCACTGGTATGTATGGATATATTAATACTCGCATGTAGAAAGTTAAAAAATATTTACCTTCATACCTTCATGAAAAACGCTGGTATTTTCTCTCTCTCTCTGCCTCTCTCTGCTCTCATTGAAATGGATATGATTGGGTTCAGTCTGACCCGAGGTGAGGAAGTCATTAATCACTTTTACAATTGGTAGCGCTCGAATATTTCACAGGTGGCATTCGTTACATGACCTCCTTGATAACTGACGGCTGGTGTTTTTCGTTACATGACCTCCTTAACAGCTGTTTCCTTTGTACGATAAGATGGGGATTGCAAAAGAAGATTACAAACGAGTTACGTAGCATTAGTAAAAAAGAACATCTACCAAAAACTAAATATTTCATGGAAGTCTAAGGGAATTCTTTCTGTATGCTGAAATACTCGTATTTCTGACAATTATTCCAATCTGTCGCAGCTGCGTTGCCGTGGTTTCATGTGCTTTATGTGCTTTTAATTATTAAACTCCATTAGCGACACACAAGACATACAAAATCAAGTATGTACATGTAGCTAATCTTCCTGGAGTTAAAATACAATAATACAAATACACCACATCAAAATTACAACATTATTTACATACAACATTAAACTTAACATTTAAAAGTAACATCACATGTGCCTATCATCATGTGCATATGTACGCATGTGCTCTAACAACTCCTGCCTAAACCTGCTCTTAGTTGCTGCTTGTACCTCATGTGTTTTCTGAACATTTAAATTATCAAGAATCACTGACACATATTTGCTTTGGTTGAAGCAATTGAAGATGACTGTAGGTCGACCCCATGCACGGTTGAACACCAGGAATGTGTCGAAAATGGAGGTAGCTACATCTGTCGGTGTGCTGTAGGATACTACTTCATAATCATCGGCACTAAGGACACATGCAGAGGTAAATGAACTGTTTTAAACTGTGGCAACACATTGCATATATTTTTTTTCATATGATAACGATAATATTCTTTATTGCATGTTAATGGTAAAAGGACAAATGCAAAGATAACCATATGTGGTTTAAAGGGTGTAAAAAAGAACTAGACACAAAAATATGTACTGATAACACTATGTGCAATTATGATTGTATATTTCCAATAGCATCTTCTTTCTTTTCAAAACACGTCGAGACAAAACCACAATCTTTTTTTAACATGATCATTTGTTTCCCCGCACTGGGGATTTGAATGTATCCTTCTTTGGCGATGTCTTTCAGCTTTTGTGTAATTGTTTGGACAGCAATTGACCCTAATTTTCATTTAGCGAGCAATTGAATATAACATGTCACTCTGTATATGCTATGATGTAGAGAGGTACATTGTACAACAGCTACTCATCCTTATCCTAACGACTTTTTATAATATATTTCTTAGAATCGCTTACGTATGAAGCTGAACTGACAATCGTGGCAATCGGTGGAGTTCAGCAGAGCTTTAAAGCGGAGTTGGGAGACACAGAATCTGCGGAATTTGAGAGGATGGCGTCAGTTGTTGAGGATGCAGTAAGCCCATTTTCTTTCCTCGCCTCCGAAGATATATTGGAGCATTATCAACACTTTAGCCCTATACTTTGTGGAATTGCATGTTGTAACAATATATACATATGTCACAAATACTTTACGTTGGAACTGCAGAAGCAACACCTAGCTTCAGCACCAAATCTCATGAAATTAATTAGTTTTTTTTTTTCTTTCTTATTTTTCTTCTCTTCTAATTCCATTTTCAGGGGCGTTCTAAAATATTTCAAACATTTCTGCGAAAAGATATCCGCCCTCTACAACATTCAACTGATGTGATCTGAGTTATGACAACGAGTCTCGAGTTGATAGAGACAAGTTTAAGTCAGTCATAAAGTCGAAAGATGAGAAGTTTTAGAAGATGACTTTACATTGCGATTTCCGCAAGGGCGGACCATTTTTTTTAATTACCTACTGAAATCTTTTCTAGCTTGACGATCATTTCGATGCCGGACTCCGTGCACGGTACAAGGGATTGAAGATCAAATCCTTCCGGGCAGGAAGCGTCATCGTCGGGTTTGACATCTACCTGTCCCAGGGTCCCGCCTCCGTCAGCACTGTTACCCAGGCGTTCTACGGGAATCTACAGGGCAACAACACCATCGGGTCATCACAAGTTACAATCATGCCATCGTCTTTTAGAGTTTCTGAAGGTATGTTATTCATCTCAAACTTTATTCACTCGAAATAACATTGCAAAAAATGCACATAAACAATATTATAAATAAACTGTACATTAGCTTCTGAATTGCGTTACTGGACCTTGCATAACTTGACCAAGCAACATATATCTTTTGTATATTCGTTATTTTAGATGTATTGGTTTCCAACTTTGATAAACTGGAAAACTGTGACAAATTGTACCTAATTCAGGGGGATGCGCTTCTGCTCCCCCTGCTGTTGTACATTTGTGAAAAATGAGCAAATAAACATTTGTATTCATGACAAATCAAATCAGTACATGTATATATATAAATTGTATTAATAATTACGCAATTCAGGGTATATGTATGATTGTATGTATCCCTGCTGATTGTATGTTTTGAGGAAGAAATAAATTTGTAAATTTGTATAATTATCTCCTTCGTTTAAGGAATTGACTAATTAACATGTTTTGATATATGCTTTTTCTAATCTAATTTTAATTGACGTCAACTCGATTTTTTTTCAGTCAACAACGACTCCACATCTCCCTGGTACCACGAGCCGCTGTACCTGGCGCTGGTTTGTACCGGCTGTGCTGTTGCTGTCACCGCCGTTATTGTGGCAATGATCTGCTGTTACACCAAACACAGCAAGAAACAGCACAAAGTACATGCAGTTCCCCATGCCGAACTTCCGCTGACCGAGAGGAAACTAAGCGGCGAAAATAAGCAGTGTTAGTTGAGCCTCCCTACTGATTGGTAAAGTTTGTTAAAGTTTGGTTAAGTTTTTTTATTTTTTTCGATTCTTAGATAAGATCAGATTAGGTGTAAAGCCCCCATTTCACCAGGACACTCTCACTGCGCTCATCTTTGCTCTCTCTGCGATCTGAAATCGAGCGCCGTGAGTGCACCGTGAGAGCGCCGAGGTCGACATGTTTTGTATCTGAATCACTGTTGGGGCCGTTGCGCGCTGTCATGGCGCTCGCTTTACTCTCTCACGGCGCTCATCCTCGGCTCTCCTCGTGCTCTTACGGCGCTCATCGTTGCATCGCCGTCCTCGGCGCTCTCACGGCGATGGTATGACGCCGTTCCATACCATCGCCTAGGTGACGGCGCTCGTGTCGCTCACGGCGCTCTCCTCGCGCTCCCATGGTGACTTTTGCGACCGTGAGAGCGCCGTCTAAGTTGAATGGGGGAATTACTCCGATGGAGTGGCCGTCAACACGTGTGTGTACAAGTCAGCCTGATTTATGGGTTTGTTTATACACGATTATGCTTTTGCACAGCTTTGCCTGCCACAACAAATTAAAGTTATATTATTGATACATTAACAGTACGGTGGTATCTGTTTATGTCTTTTTGTGTGTTCAGCAATGTCCTCAGAAAAGAATGGCATATAAGAGATCATCTTTAATGACTGTAAAATTTTTATTCATACCGAATGTTTATAATGTTTAACAACTTTTGGTTACATTGCATCCTTAGATAGGATTGTAATATGGCATTCTTATGTTTAGAAATGATATTTTGTACTTATTGCTTAATAACATTTCTGCTTTAATGTTTTAAGAATTTCTAAACATTGGCATTTGATTGGCTGTGGTTTGAAATGTTTGTACACGCACCCGCTGGTGTGTTTATTGTTTGCCTTTTGTGCTGGAAATAAAGTTGACGCTATTCCACATTACTTGTTTTGGTATGCCATTACCTGTATCCATTGTTACCTCCATGAAAAACGGAGGTATTGTTTTTAGCGTTTCTGTCTGTGTGTGTGTCTGTCTGTGTGTTTGTGTTTCCGCACATTTGTAGTCAGCATAACTTCATAACGCCTTACTGGATTATGATGATATTTGGTATGTTGGTAAGTCTTAGGAAGACAAAGGTCAAGGTCAAATATGGGCCTCCTGGTGGATGACCTTGGTACTGCAGCAGAACTTCCGGTTTTTGTATCTTTTGTCATGAACATGCTATGGTCTTGATGTTTTGGTGACAGATTGCTTTTCCTGTCAGGAATAAGTGGTGTGAGTTTGGTCCCCCTAGTATCTTGTTCTGGAACTGCAGGGCACTTTCTGGCGAAATGTTTTAAAGCCAATAAGTCCAGATAGTAACAACATATTTTCGTAATTTTTGGCTAGGTAGCTGACAGAGATGTACATAAATGTAAATTATGCAAATGAGGACTTTATTTGCATAATTGATGAGAAATTCTATAATTACAGTGTTTTACATTATACTACTTTCATACATGTAATGTATCTAAGCTATGGCAGGTGGAACATCAGCAGATACTAATTATGCAAATGATGACCTAATTGCGAAAATTCTATGATTTCTTAATGGTGAATGATGGGAATGTCATACTTGGGACATCTGTAAGTTAATCAAAAGTTAGCATACATCACGATGCATAAATCATGTTAATGCAGAGACTAATTGCATAATTAAAGAAGAAATTTACATTTACATATCAAGCCCATATTTCATGGAGGTATGATTCTCGGAATTCTTGTTGGTAGATGAAACAGGATTTCTTCTACTAAACGATCATTTACTTATTTCATTGCAATTGTTACGTTACAGTATGTATCTGAACAGAGCTGGAAGGGCTGCTAATGCTTAGGTCACAATTCAAGAAAGGGGCCCGCTCGGCGCGTGTTCGGCGTGTTTTTTGGCACTACCGAACGGGACCTTGACGGAGACCGGCGGGCTTCCAAACGGCTGCCGGCCTATTTTTGGCCCCGTGCGGTCGCCGAATCGATTTTAACTCAGAGTTAAAATCACTTCGGGCACCGTTCGGCGAAATACGCCGAAGCGGCGCCGTAACCTCACTGCCCGGAGCCCGTCGGGCGGCCGAACAGGCACCTGCCTAAGATTATGACGTCACATGTGCTGATAAGTGCATAAGGTGGTAAGAGAAATGGGGTTATATGGGACATATGTAAACTCCTTGTTCAGACTACGTCGGACAGTTCAACACACGTGTGTTACACCGTGTACTTGTGTGTAGTATATAGTAGAGGGGATTCATTCCTCAAGCTACCGACATCTTGCACACGCAGTCGTCCCTCAGTAAGACATCTGGAGCCGCATAGTTCCCGTTTAGAAATTTTATTCAGCCTGTCACACATATGTCATGTGTAACAGGCTGAATAAAAGTTCTAAACGGGAACTATGCGGCTCCAGATGTCTTACTGAGGGACGACTGCGTGTGCAAGATGTCGGTTAGCTGAGGAATGAATCCCCTCGAATTCACATTACACCGTTTACTTGTGTGTGTTACACCGTATACTTGTGTTTCAGAATGCCGATGGGCAGTGGAAAACAGCCGAGACGATAGCCCGGCATACATGTGCTTCAGAACAGTGATATTGTGTTGCATGTGGGCTACCTTTAAGGGAAACTCCAAGGATCGGTAGCTGTTCCCGGTCGCCAGGAAACGTAGGGTAATTACTAATGGCGAGTTTTAGGCCTGCTGGCAAGGGCTGTCTGGCTCTGGATAGAATTAAACAGAAGTGTTACATACAGACTGGACTGTAATATCTAAATTTGCTGTTATTATATAACATTATGGATACATTGAAATGTGTCAAGAAGTAAAGGGCATTCATCAAAAAAGCACTTGCTCCGGACTTTTCTCGATGGATGGGCCTACACGTTGTAGGGAGTCGTGAAACATCTATTTAAAGTCGCAATGATGGCAGGCAGTGTAGCGCTTATATATATATACCGGCTTACAAACACGACGGAATCCCGCCAGGGACGCGCCAGGATCCTCCCTGGACCACGCCAGGGACCTGACAGCTACCCGGCCGAACTGTAAGAGCCGGTCGGAACCCTACCGCAAGCCGCACGGGTCAAGATGGGAGACTGATCGGGCACCGGACGGGTCCCTGACAGAAACCGGCCGCCAAGGGGACCAAAAGTTTATGAATATTAATTAGAAGCCGCCGGCCGGAGCACAACCAGGCCCCGACAGGAAGCCGTAAAGGAACATTTAATTGTGACCCTGACAGTCGGCGCACGCTCGGCGTCATGACGCCGGCCGGCGTCTACACCGAGGACATGCCGAACGAGCGCCGTTTCAAATGTGACCTAAGCATAAGCGAGGACGTAGGTGTTTACTAAATTATGTCACAAGCCATTGACGCAAAATAATCTAAAAAGAGTTCCACGACCTTGTACCAAATGATGTTAATCTTGTTTAAAACATTCGGATGTGGATAGGCGTTTCGACCATGAATGGCTTGTAGTCGGTTAGTGTTTGGGAGTAGCTCGAGGCTTGGTTGTGAAATTTCACTCAAATTTGACTCAAAGTCGATCCGATTTGTTCAGAAAGGTTGGCGTGGCTTAAATCTGGCAAGACTGATACCAACTTCAGCCAACCTTGGTCAGCTGGTGTTCCGGGGAAGGTTCTGGGTGTTTCATAGGGGCTTAATTAATAATGATGACAACGGTTAGGGACCTCCAGTTCATTTTTATGCTGTGTGAAAGATCTTTGTACCAAGATATTTCTATCATCACAGCAAGATGTCATCATTAAACATTAAATACCCCCATTATGATATCTTCATTTAGCTAATGACAGATTTCGTAGTGTTTATACTTGAAGTTAAGAGAAAAACAATATATAGCCAATACGTATAATGTGAAAACTATGAATCAACCCAATTCAGAGTGTATAATTGACAATGACATTAAGATGAAGAATAGCAGACAAGATATCAATAACCGCAAACCCCTTTATTGAAATGAAGAAAAAGCATGTCCACTCATTTGCCTCTCTTTTAAACGAAACATAGACTAATTTCCGAAACATGTTTACAAAGTAATCGAATAGCACAATGAAAACTATTACAATCATCAAAACTATTACAATCATCAAAACCATTACAATCATGACCTTATGAATGAATGAATGAATGAAGGACTTTATTTCAGGAAAAGACCCATAGTACAGACAAGGACCACATAGACACTAGACACACAACAATCTATATACATGTTTAAAATACGTGTTCCTGAATTGGCAGTCTGACCTCAATAGACCGTATATAATACTATTGTTGGTGGTGTAAAGTCTATTGATGAAAGCATAACACAATTTCCTGCGTCTAGCATCGAATGTATCGGTCGAGAGGTGTACAAACATTGAGCTAGCACTACAACCTCTTGGCAACTTAAGGAGAATACGAAAGCAGTTATTGTATGCAACACGACACTTAGCTAGTACACTCGCATGAACAGAGTTCCATAACTGGACTCCAAACAACCCCACATCCACACATAATAAGACTAATTCTCGTCACCGTCAAAACTTTTATAAGTTTATCTGCAAATCCACATCTATGAAACATTTACCTACAGATACTTCTACTTTTCCAACTACCTACAGCCTACTATCATATTAACGCACCGCCACTAAATAATCAAGCCATTTTTACTGACATCTGTCAAAAATATCTATAATGTCACCTGGCGCGATGTATAGAAAACAACATTTAAGTACCAGTGTAATGCCCAAGACTTTCTTCTAAAAAGTACTTACTGTTTGTACAATTACTTGATTTGTATCATATTTTCTGTTTATATCTACATCTCAATCTTTTACTGGAGTCCAGAATTTACACACTTAACGTCTGCTGTCTACATATTAAGTAAAAGCATAAACCAACCAAATGCATCAAAAGCTCTTTTCAGGATCATCTTATGAAATAAAACGCTAATGTCATTTAAGGACATTTAAGGTCATTTAAGGACAGAATATAGCAGGGTTTGACGGATTTAGAATTGGATGAAGGATTGTGAATTTTGGACAACACTAGCTAGTATACTGTATAGTTGATTTTCGTTTATTTATTGTGTATGAGTTAATTTATTTTCCCGTGATCCCACCCCTCACTCATTACTGGATCTCTGGGAAGAGCGGCATGTAAAAGGCCGACAGGGCCATCCAGTTTAAATAAAGGTGAATGAAATGAAATGAAATGAAAACTTGATATCTACTTCCCAAGCTTCTACTGGAGTCCATAAAATGCCATAAAAATGCATCAAAAGCTCTTTTAAGGATGATCTTATCAAACAAAACTTTGATTT